ACTACTTTTGTCGCTTTCTTTAATTGTATCACTACTTCCAACACGATTTTCGTGAAGAAATTTCTTATAGAATCTTTTGAGCGTTTTCGGTACTAAAATTCTATTATCTAGGGAAACAACATCTTTATTCGCAAAAATACTGTTAACAGTCGGATATGTTGTGACCGCTTGAGGGGTTTGGAGGAAAAAGGCGCATTAGTGCAGTTTTTACTATTTCAAGAAATGCATGTTTGATCCTTATGTTGGGAAGAAAGTTCCAACTGACTTTTTGATGCTCTAAAATTGGAATTTGGGAGCTAATTTGTCACAGAATATGCATTAAGACTAGTTTTACTTGAAATTAATTTTTTTTCAAAAACTGCACTCGAGCGTCTCGTCGTCCGAGCCCCTCATTTCATCTTGACATTTGCTCCACTCTGGTTGGTACATACGAATTACAGCCTGTAATTCTGTACCTTTCAAGGTTTCCCTTTGAAGTCTTTTAAATTAAGCAGATGTTATTTCTAATTTTAGATTAATATTATGAACGATTTCACACATCATTGGGTCATCTTCAATACCTAGGATCACAAAATTTTGACTGAGAAGATCTGCTGCGAACAACGTTTAAGATCATACATAGCAAGTTTCAACATACATATATTATATCTTTGAATTCTGTTCGACGAAACTTTGGTAATACCTTTTTTGAAAATTTCTTGCAAAGGTTCATGATCAGAATTTACAATTTTTTAGCTATAAATTAGATAATGCAGCTTATTATCAGCAAAGCAGATGCTTAATAATTCCTGTTCGATCGTTGCATGAGAGGCTGGGCCGTCAAAATGATTGATTCTCAACAGTAGTTGATTTGGTTAGTTATTGATTTAGACTAAAAATTTACGTTCCCATCTTGTTGACGTTGAGGACTGCACGGACGAATGGGGAATGAACTCAAATTCCATCATCTGGGACGTCTCATGACTTGATTCCGGGTTCCATGAACATGTAATATTGATTTTACCTGTTTGCAGATTCACTAACATCCATGAGTGTTCATGGGTTCCACAACCACCTTATGAATTAAGCGGAAGAACGACTTGTTATCATTTGATGAGGCCTCTTAGAAATGATCAGGTCCAATTTATTCCAGAGAGGTTATGTAAATTAACCATGGGCCAGAAATAGGCCTTGCAGTAAACATTAGTTTAATCCACATTAATGTGATTTAAAGTAAACCACCGGTAGTTGAGTGATATGTAGTATTGGATTTCTGAATACTTGCTGTGCTTCGTACGAAAACTTGAGAGATAAAAGTTTTTCGGAGAAAGATTTAATCGCTCAAGTACTGAACACATGATAAACAAACCAAAACTTTGAGGAGGAAAGTATAATGTTCATTCATAAATTCACAGCGAAATAAGGCAAAAACACAAGTCAGAATCGAAGCTTGTTTAAACTGCAGGATTCCATACTAAGACAAAATTGTTACACAATGAAGAACGGTACCCAGCTCAACCTTAAACTTGCAATGACTGAAAAAATCAAAAGCTCTGAAGGGAGGAGTAATCCTGTGATAAGATTAAAATAGGTCAGTTGCGTATGTTCACTAGCTCTATGGTCACTCAATTCAATTCAAACATTTAAAAGGTAACGATGTAAATTTGAGAAATTGTTAATTTCAGAGCTGACAGCTCCATTTACATGGCATCTTATGAAAAAACATACTTTAAAAAGAATTTTAGCACAAACTGCACCTTTAAATCTTTCTTATCTCGTTACATGCTTAAAGAATTTCATAGTTTTTCACTCAGCAATGCTGCTACAGGAAAAAATACGTTTATAGCCGAGAAAATTTGCAGAAAGGTGTCTTTTCAATAGGAGTAGAATACCAGCTATTGGCTCATTAAAAAATTGATTTACAACCACACGAAGGATCATTTACGTAAGTTTGTGCAAGCTCTTTATCGCACTCTATTTGATAGAATAAGTTTGTACTTGAGAACCTTTCCAATTTAACAGCATATGGAGAGAAAATCACTTTGTAAGTTTTTAATCTAACTCATGTTTTGGTGCATCATGTGGACTTGAAAAATGTTTCTTCCCCATGAAGTATTTGAAACTATCCAAAACAGAGGTATAAAATGTTACTCCTCGTCTACAATGGTTACTTTTCACAGTTTTGTTGTACCGTTATTGTTGGCTTAGAAAGAGGATGCTCTCGGGAGCAACAGTTAGGTAAGCACAGTTCAACCCCTTCATTACCACGAGGCATCCACATTGAGCAAACGCTCATCCTACCCATTGCATTTCAGCCAATCTTCAACGACCTCCAATAGGAAGTAATCACTTTGGTAGCTCCATCTGTCAAAAAGATCCGGACTACAACTTTAGCCTCTTTTCAATGGGTTACGCTCTAATTTGTTCATAAGACAGCCAATCTCCATCATGGTGGCATGTGCATGCAGAGTAGAGCCTGGTAATGAGATGGTTCAGTTGATGAAAATAAATACTTTCAGGAAGAAGAGAGGAAAGTACCGCTTTCTTAGGTTTAATAATACATTTTGGTATAGAAAAAAATGTGACAGTGTATTTTGGTAACAAAAAATTTGATAGAATAGAACAAAACAGTAAAAACATTCTTCAAAATTTAGAAATTATAAAACTGGTCAAAATGAGCATATACATCTTTGCCGTTTCTATGAAAACATTGAAAATACTGAAATCATTTTCAGGTACGCAAAAAACACTTAAAGCTATGAATTATCCCCCTACTCAGGTGCATTTCAAGAATCTGATATGGAGCGATGGGTAGTTCGGCAGTTTCCGACTGTGGCTACAGATCAGTGCACCGGTATAATAACAAAGGAATGTATTATGATACAAACAACCTTCTCCTGTAATATCAGTGCATGCACTAATTTCCGAGGTTCCATAACAGAAAACAATGCGACAAGGTGGGGTTTTCTCCCAAGAAGCTTATTAATGGGGACGCTACATATTTCCTTCTCTTAGAGATAAATGAGTGCACCACTCAAATTATTCTTGCCGATTATAGAGTATGAAACAGAAGTGAGCTGTTCACATTCTATCGCCGACTTTATAAACTGGACAAGTTGAATAGACCAAGAGCTCATGAAGATTCATTTAACCAGAATAATAGAAATTTGCTATCTACCTCATTCAATGGGGATTCTGGTCAGGAAAAAGAAATGGGAGGTCTGGCGGGGTGAACCAGTTGCACAAAAAAAATATAGTCCCCTGAATGCCCCAAAAATTCCTCAGATTTTAATCTGAAACATAAACCCGAAATTTTGGGCTCATTTCACATGGAAAACCGTCCTGAGTAAGGATCAGTCCGTCTGAGGACCGAAATCAGTTGCTAAAGGGCCGCCAGACCGGTTCAAATTTGAGTAAAAATTGCCCAAATTTTAACCAGCAACATATATAAGTACTTGTGTTCGGGCTCATTCTACTCATCATGTCATGCTGAGAGAGATTCAGTCGGTCCGGCGGCTGGAATCGGTTGCAAGATGGTCGCCTTCTGACACTCGGGGAAAAAAATGTTTTCATCAGTAATCGACCCCAAGGAATCCAAATTTGAGGATCCTGTCGTCCCTAGAGGCTTCTCTGGTGGAACAAGGGGGGGGGGACTCTGAACTTGTAAATTCAACCAGTGAAGGGCCTACCCCGGGCCCCATCAAAGAAGCCTCTGGAGACAACAGGACCCTCAAATTCGAATTACCCATGAAAACGTTTGTCAAACGTACGTCAATTTAGAGAAAATGAATTTACAGAAAGATGGCTCTGTCACCCATCTTTGAGGGTTAGTATTTTGGACACGGATGAATCAATATGGGATTTCTCAGTGTCGATTCATGTTAACATTTTCTGTACTTCTGGATACCTACCAATGAAATAATTTCAACATTTTAACACAGACCCCAACTTTTAGAGTATGAATTCCCATTTTATGTCCCAAAGGATATCGGCAGGGCTTCAAGAGCATGAAATTCGGATTACTTGGGCTCGATTCCCTGATCATCCCTGTGGTCCTGAACTTCGTCCTACCTGAATTAACTGAAAAAAGGCCTGGTACAGTAAGGGCGATTCCTGTCAGATCATTCAACTAGTAGTTGACTGCCTGTTAAGGTTCAACTAGAGGTTGGTGTGTCTTGTCAATTTACAACTACTGGTTGAGAGGCTGTTAACGGGCTGAGTTTCAACTGGTGCTTTTTCTGCCTGTTAGATTTCAACTAGGACTTCAGACAAAACATTCGTTCCGGTTCTTCGCGTTTCACTGGTTCACAAAGAGCCTGATTTAACTACCTAGGCTCGGTTTGCGGACCCCGCCACCCGCACCCTCCTCTTTGCAAGGGTTGTTCTGTCCTCTCGTTCAACTGCTAATTGAATTTTCGGCAAGGGTTCCCAGACATTGGAAACAACTTGATGTAGGATATGAGGGAACAAATCATGTTAATGCACTATTTGGCGAGTAGTCTTTGTCCAGTAACTAGAGGTTGAAAATCAGTGACAAGACACTCCTTCAGGTCGAACCGGAAGTTACCTTTAACTGGTAGGTAGTTCGTCAACTAGCAGTTAAAGGTAACTTCCAGTTCGACCTGAAGGAGTGTCTTGTCACTGATTTTCAACCTCTAGTTATTGGACAAAGACTACTTGCCAAATAGTGCATTAACATGATTTGTTCCCTCATATCCTACATCAAGTTGTTTCCAATGTCTGGGAACCCTTGCCGAAAATTCAATTAGCAGTTGAACGAGAGGACAGAACAACCCTTGCAAAGAGGAGGGTGCGGGTGGCGGGGTCCGCAAACCGAGCCTAGGTAGTTAAATCAGGCTCTTTGTGAACCAGTGAAACGCGAAGAACCGGAACGAATGTTTTGTCTGAAGTCCTAGTTGAAATCGAACAGGCAGAAAAAGCACCAGTTGAAACTCAGCCCGTTAACAGCCTCTCAACCAGTAGTTGTAAATTGACAAGACACACCAACCTCTAGTTGGACCTTAACAGACAGTCAACTACTAGTTAAATGATTTGACAGGAATGGCCCTAAGTCTGAGCCACCCTGTATGACAGCATGAATACAAATGCTTACTCAATAATTTTCAAAAGTGCATCTTAAATGAAAAATGGACATTTCGAGTTCTGACCAAACTTTTTGTTCAAGAATAGTGGGGTCATGGGTTAGAGATGTCAACTAACTTCTGTCCCTCCATAATAAGTGAGGATGATCTACTTCCACGCCTGCTTCAAAGCTTTCCTTCCTGCTAAATGTTTAGTTGCATAGGCAGCTAAAGATAGTCCCGACAGCACAACCATGATTAAGAAATAGTCAAAATCTTCCTTCAGCAGATCAAAAGTCTTCGATGGTGATATGCGAGTGTAGAAAATATCTGAAATAAGAACGTTCCATTAACACTGATCAGAGTGGCTCTAAACATCATGATAAATTACTTGGTGAAACTACTGATTGTTGTGATGATTTGAAAGTGAAGGAAAAATTAGAGAATTCTGAAATTTTGGAGTGTGCAAAAACAAAACAGAATTGGAAAATGACGAAACCCCAAATAATATTTTACAGGACTTGACTGCTTCAAAGCCAAGTTTTCTGCAAAATTTTCCACTTTTCTACGATGGTTTTATTTGAGGGCTAATTTGTTTGCAGCAAATGATATTGGTGGGGAAGTGGATTGTATGTCTCCACCTACCTGCTTTTATTTATACGACTTAGATGCATCTCTACCTATCTACCTATCCTATCTTTGTTTATAGGACATAGGTACAACCATCCTGGAATTTTGAGTTATTTCGTCGAGTTTTAATAGTTTTATTGTAATCTGTTATTTGAATTCTTCCGTTCTTGCTGTCTTTTCTTTTCTTCATTTCATCTGACTGCTTTCATGTTTTGATTGTACATCAAATCAACAGGGGTGCTTAAAAAGGGAATTGTTCTCGTGCAATCTTTCAATGGTTGGAAACAAAGTTCTGATTTTGGTTGCATTTGATAATTGATGCAAAAATACGGAGTTACTCAGGCACATAGCCAAGAAAAATAATGAAAATCTAGGATCCGTAGTGAATAAATGAACCAAAGCCATGTGAATTTGTAAAGTTATTGCTTCAGGCTTTTCGAATACAAATAAAAATTAATTAAATTGCAGGTTTTCCAACTTTTTGATCGATCTGGAAGATTATAAACACTTGCTCCCCCTACTTCTAAGTACTGACGGTTAAGTTACTTAGACACAGATCGAACCGCAGGTGCCACCGGTCGTGGTATCCACTGCTCTAACAAAAAATGTCGCAATACCATCAGCTGACCAGTCCTGGGCCTCATCAAAGTTTGTTCCGTGTCAAGATATATTTCAGCTTCCGTTCTCATTTCTGTTCTATAATTACTTGTCTGATGATGGCATTTTGACGCTGAAATAGCTATAGTGTGCTGATGTGATGAGTAAGTTACCCATTTTCCTACAACAGGGATTACAATGAAAAACCTTGTAGCAAAAGGCCTTCTTCATGTCATGTTAAGTAAAGTAGTGGTAAGCGCTATGTTTTGCATGCTTCCATGGTTGCATTTTAGGCACAAAACATTAATAACAAAAAAATTTGAAGGTACGAAGTTGATAGAAGAGTGCACCATTATACTCATCTCTCTCTGAGAGAGAAGACTTACTGCTGTCTTTTCTGGAATGACATCAATTTTTTCACACTTATTGCCTTTTCATGGGTCTTGTTTTTCTACAAAGAGGACGAATTTTACTGTCACAGCTGAATCAATGAGTTCATTTAAATGTTAGTGGACAAATTTTGAAAGGAACTCGATTTAAAAAAAATGAGGCTCTACTGCTCTCTTTGATAACCCGACAGCACACCAAGGCAGCTGCTGAGTTCAGGTTAACCCGTATAGTCCAGGCAAACAAGGAAAAGAGCCTGCAAAAATCCCGGGTAGCAATGTTTTCATCGATTCCTATTTAATTTTTGAGTCTGAATCCGAATTTTAACTTTGCGCCATTAAATTCGGACCGGAAAGTTTCCAAATTTGGCAAAAATGGCCTAAAATCGGACTTTTTTCCGGATTATGGCCTGTAACTTGCCAAAACCTGATCTGACGATAAAATTTGTTATTTTCAGAAATAAAGCTCGTTAAATTTCCTATAAAAAAATTCCATATACTTTTTGGCTCAATGCAAATTAAGCGCGCTGGCGGGCTCCAAACTTTGAAAAATGAGCGAAAACTTGGTTTTTTGGGGGTTATGGCCTGTGACTCGTCCAAAATTGATCTAACGACAATTTGGTTGTTTTAAAAAAAACGTTCGTTACCCATAAAAAAGTTCCTATACACTTTTTTGCTCAAGGCAAAATTAAGCGCGCTGGCGGGCACCGAACTTCGAAACATGAACGAAAATTGCGTTCTTTTACGGTTTTTGCAAAAATCCCGGGTAGTTATGCTTTCAGTGATTCCTACGTAATTTTTGACGCTGAATCCAAATTTTAACTTTGCACCATTAAATTCGGACCGGAAAGATGCCAAATTTGGCAAAAATGGCCCAAAATCGGCCTTTTTTCCAGATTATGACCTGTAACTTGCTAAAAATTGATCTGACGATAAAATTAGTTATTTTCAGAAATAAAGCTCGTTAAATTTCCTATAAAAAAGTTCCTATACTTTTTTTTGTTCAATGCAAAATCAAACGCGCTGGCGGGCTCCGAACTTTGAAAAATGAGCGAAAATTGTGTTTTTCGCAGTTTTTGCCCGATGTCTTCTGTTTTAATCGTCCGACGAGTAATTTCTGGACAAATTAAGTGAAGATGATAAAATTTACACTTAGTGAAATGAATTGATGTAAATAATAAGGACAACCCAACACATTATAGTATGCGCAATTCTCGCACATTTTACAAAGTTCGGAGCCCGCCAGCGCGCTTGATTTTGCCTTGAACAAAAAAGTGTATAGGAACTTTTTTATAGGAAATTTAACGAGCTTTATTTCTGAAAATAACTAATTTTATCGTCAGATCAGGTTTTGGCAAGTTACAGGCCATAATCCAGAAAAAAGTCCGATTTTAGGCCATTTTTGCCAAATTTGGTAACTTTCCGGTCCGAATTTAATGGCGCAAAGTTGAAATTCTGATTCAGCGTCAAAAATTACATAGATATCGATGAAAACATTGCTACCCGGGATTTTTGCAGGCTATAGCCCCTTTCATGGCTTATTTGCCTGGACTAGTAAGGATCTGCCCTTTAAGATCTTTCAATTTTGGACTTTCAGATGCCTATCTCTGTTGAAATTTTCTGCAGAAATAAATTTAGGAATTTATATTGAGAAAAAAGAAACTCCAGCAAGAGTATTTAAATCGGCTCGTGCGAAAACCGCTAATGTCCATTTTTACTTTCTCGCTCCCCTAGGGTAGAGAGGAAGTATTGTCATCCTCCAAGAAGAAGAAGAAAAAAAAGTTGAAATTTCAACATTTCTAGACGTTTTAAGGTCCCAGGAGTCAAAATAACCATACTTGAAAAAATGTGTGTCCGTCCGTCAGCTGTCCCCCAAATCTGTGTACAGCAATAACTCAGAATCTATCTGTTCGATTTCATTCAAAATTCTCACAGAACACCATATCTATGGTCTTCTTATGCACGTCGAACGATTTTGGGGTACGCTAAAATTTGGGGGGTGGGGGGCTAGGGTCAAATTGGGTTAAAGGTCCATTTTCAGCAAAATCACCCGGAAAGCTCATTTTGAGGGACTATAAATTTTGAAAAATGCCTTTAATTCTTTAAAAAAGGGCATCAAGCACATCACCTGGGTCATTAATTTAAGTTCCTAAAAGATCTTTGGACTAAACTAAAAATTCAAGGGATTACAAGGCCCAAAAGTAGGGCACTTTGCTCCGCAACATCACACAAACAGCTCATTTTCAAAGACTGTAAATTTGAAAAAAAAATGCCTTTAATTCTTCGAAAGTTGGCATAAGAGCACCACCTGGTTCATTAATTTAAGTTCCTATGAGGTCTTTGGACTAAACTAAAAATTGAAGGGTTACGCGTCATGTAGCAAGGAGAGCTCAAGGACTGTAGATTTTGAAAAAAATGCCTTTAATTCTTTCAAAGTTGGCTTAAAAGCACCATCTGAGTCATTAATTTAAGTTCCCAAAGGATCCTTGGACTAATCTCATAATTGCAGAGGGGCCAATAGGAAATGCTCAATTCTCCGATAAATGAGTCGGAGCGCTTCTAGATAATAGCAGCAAACGCTTTGAGTCAGGTGAAACCTAGGAATTCAAATGCATTATATAATGCATCATATACTATTTCCAAAATTACTCCTTAGGTATACACCAGGCAAAATTAGACAACTACTTAGGTACTTACATTACATACTATGAATGAAGCTAACGCAAGAACTGACACTTAGATCTTTATTAGAAACTAATATGTTTGTTGTTAATGAATTTAGAATCCCGGCAGATTCCATCTTTTGCGGTTCCTTTTTACGAGGTACTGAACACAAATATAATTTAATAATACTGCACAAACATGATTGAAAAAAATTTAATGATTGATAACCCGAGGTTTGTTGACATTTGTCGACGTTGTTGTTGTTGTTTAAGTACACAGGTATACGAGCAGCAAGAAGATGGCGCTCTCTATTGTTTTCGCTTTGAATTACGGGGATACGCGGTAAGGAGATGGCGCTCTTGGCGGGCGTGTGGTGAACCTTCCAGCAGGTAGATTCGCCCGCCAAATTTAAAATTTGGGAGATGCTAAGCGAAAACCGTTTAGTTTTAAGACTATTTAAACATCGAATAGTCATTCTACCCATCAAAGTAGATATTTGATGGCTTTTGACCGTGCTTAAGGAAAGATTATAATATAAAATCGTATCTGAAGTATGATGTCAATGAATCTAATGGATCCTAATGAATCGTAGAAAAGCTAAGATTTTTACGGATTGCCGTATTTGATAGGAGACTTTGTTAATCAATTACATATTTAATTGAAGATGCCTCATAAAATCAACAAGTCGAGTCCGAATACATGAATTCATCACACATCGCGAAGACATTTACAATAAAGTTCAGTGGTTTGAATAAAAATTTCATAACTATTATCCTGCGATCAAAATTCCAATCAAACTTTCTGATTTTATGAAATTGGCAGTATTTTTCTAAATATTCCAGCAAAAGCGAGAAAGTGTTGTGCGATTCTCGCACCCTGATAAGGGGCGAAGCCCCCCCACATGCCGGCGCGAAGCGCCGGTACGCGGCGCTTGCGCCGCGCATAAATTGGCCGGAGGCCAATTTTTTTTCAATTATGAGATTTTTTGATTAAAATACTCTCGGAGGTCAGACACACTCATTAATGTAGTGAAAATTTTTGTTCCTTTGGTTTGAAGCCCTTTTCAGGGGGGGGGGGCGTGGTTCGAATCATGCGAAAACCGCTAATGTCCATCTTTCGTCATATGCCTCATTTTACTGTACAACAAACCAAAATAAAAAAATGTCTCCTGGACGACATTCAGTGGTCTTAATGCATTTTAAGGCGCTGAATCTGAATATGACCTCCGATTTTTTTCATCACCCTCCAATTTTCCGGAAAAGCCGATTTTACTCGGAAAAATGACCATTTTTGGGCATTTTCGGTGTTTTTCCGACTGTTATCCCCTGCAGACTTTGGGTAAAATGTTGAGCAAAAGTAAGGGTAAATTGGCTCATTTACCGGGAAAATCGTATGATTTTTGAACAAAAGTATTTAAGGGTTCCCCCCCCCCTTAAAAATTAGTTAGAAGTGATTCCTAAGATTTTTACTTAAAAGTGTTTACAAATTGGGTAATTTTCCAGTTTTATTTTTTCTAACGATGATTTGAACCGGAATTACGATTTCTTAAAAGTACGTCAAATTTGACCTTTGACCCATCATAACTCTGTCAAAAATTGAGATATTGATCTGCGGTTTGCGTCAAAATTCTTAGTTTTGATTGCCCTTTGCAATAAGATATCACATGATAGGAGTTACTATTTTATAAAAAGAAGTTGGGGCCCCCCAATCCCCTGAGGGAAGGGCCAAAATTTTGACCCCCCTCCCAGAAGATGGTCCCTATTGAGATGGAAACATTTCCAAGGTTTCGTTTTTCTCTCTTGAACGGTTCAAAAGTTAGAGGGGGGACGGGACTTTTGGAACACCCTGGATAGTGGAAAAATACTTGACGTACTCGGAATTTCCTGTTCAATGACCAATTTTCCTGATTTTTCTTGATAACATCAATTTTCCTGATATTATCCGGCTCTTAATGACAGTAGATACTCTGTTATAATAATGATGATTATTACTTACCAAGACCATATGCTAAGACTAGAGATGTAGATTCAAGACCACTAGGGATAGTATGTATGCCTCGTAATCTGAACGAAGTTTGGTTGTAGTTGATAATAGCCTCCGATGGTATTGGCAATTCAGGTATGTATGGTATCACTCCCTCTTCCCGCATTTCAGGTGTCGCAACTGGTGGTCGACGAGGGTCCAAAAATGGCCAAGGGATCTCTAGAATACCTCCTGAACTCAATGCAACTACAATACAAGATAAAAATTTCATGAGAGACTGCTTATTTCAGGGCATATTACTCACTAAACCCTAATTCTACCATCATCTTTTTTACCTTACAACCAACTTAGGTAAAAATAACCTGCATGTACTTAAACATGGTTTCCTAGAAATTAAGAAATCTTTTTGAGCGTTTTCTGAAATATTTTTCTGTCCGTAAACTGTTTCTAGTTTGCAATCGACAATTATCATTTCAGAAATCCTTCGTTCGATTTAGTCTCTTCAAGAGCTCCCCTTTCCCTCTTACCTCTTTCAGTTTACTTTCACAAAATATTAGCATTCTCTTTAATCATTTTATCTTATCTTTATCCAGGTAAAATTTTTAGCATATGATGTTGAAGTGCTATTATTGGAAGTGAGTGAAGAAGGTTACTCTTAAGACATACCAGGAAAGGGAGGGGGAAGAATTTTTTAAAACACCAACAAAGGTCACTCTATAAAATTCGAGTTCTTTCCTTAAACTTAGTCATGGGCTATGTTCTTCTCCCTCCAATCTTAGTATGTATACACTATGCAGGCATTAATTTGAGAAGATGTCCCAAAAAAATAAAAAAAATAAAGTTCTGGTAAATAGATAAACCCCAAATCCCAAATTTCAGGAAAATTAAAAAACTTATAGGGGTCGCCACTCCCCTTTTGTAATTTCTTGTCTCAACTTTAGTGAGATGATTCCAATGAGATTTCCTCTCGTAAAAAAAGTGCTAATGCGAGGGGAGCATGAGACTTGGCTCAAATACATTCTTCACAAGAACAAGTTGGATAAGGTTTGTTCAGCTTTGACCCCTCATTACTCAGAGCTTTCCTCTTCCTTCAGCCTAAAACTACTAATTTTGTTTAATTTTTACGGTTTAATATTTTCCTCATAAATTTTTTTTTTGTTCCTGCTTTAAAAAGTCACTTTACATGTACTGACCAAAAGACCCTCAGCCCCTCCACCTTTCCTACAAAAAAAACCCAAAAATATTGGAAAGTTTATCAGAATCACAGCTGCCATTTAGAAAAAAATTAAATTTGGCATGTCTCTGCCGTGAATTAATCCTTCTGTATAGCATTTGAACTGCATTAACACCACTTTCCAGAACTAAAGAACTAAACCTACTATAAATATACCCCCCCTCTCCCCGGAGTTTCCCGTTCAATACCTAGAGAATCGTGGAATTAATATAAATGAAACAGCACCGTATTGAAAATATGGTCGAATCTTGCATTTCTTCATTCGTATATTTATAAGGTTATTATATAGGTATTAGTATCTTAAAATTTACAAAAACAAAGAAACTCTTATGATCCTTGTGGAAAATCCCCGCCCCCCCCCGGGTCTAATTTGATGAAACTTCGATATTTTGCTCATCTAGTCATTCTGATCAAAAGCTCTCATGGACCAAAAGAGATCCCATGTACGGTTTTCGAGATATTCGTCATTTTGTCGCTAAGCAACATATCGATGTTTCATCAGATTTAACNGGGGGGGGGGGGGGGGGGGGGGAGATTCCCCAAGAGGATTGTGCGGGGCCCTTTTCAGGTCAATAAAAGCGTATTTAACTTGGCGGATTTTCGCTACTACTACTACGCTGATTTCACGATCTGTCAGTCGATTGGCAGGAGAAAAACAAGGGGACAGGAGGGCAAACGTGCCTTGATAGACCTGAAATTTGATAGTTGCATACACCAAGGACTCTCATAAAATACCGTCACCGGTTGCAGTCATGACCTTAGTTTATTTCAAAGTGGCGACTCATCAGATTAAGTAAGTAGATGTACTCTGTAAAAAAAAGAGAGAGAGAGAGAGAGAGAGAAAAAAAACCCAATCTACATGAAAACGAGTAGGAAGCAGGGGGTGATTAAAATACGCTTCTATCAACCTGAAACTTGGTGGTTACAGGTATGAAGAATACGACTAAAATGTTTTTAATGAGTGAAGGTTGAATTATAAATTTTTCAAAAACGTCGGCTTCTCAATTCTCAAGCAGATTTTGTCCTCTCATCTGAGACATGGAGTGAAAAATTGGAGGGGAGAGGAAGGCAAACATGTTTTCATTGACCTGAAAATTCATTTCTGTCTATTTCAAGAATACTCTTAAAGAATATTAATAAGGTGATGCAAGATTCTACAATAATTTCAGAATGGTATCTTTCAATCTCCATTACTTTTATGATTTTCGAGGTATTTAACAGGAAAATTGAAGGGGCTAAACTTATCCCAGCTACCTGAAAGTTGGTTCTATGACAGTTCAAGGGCTCGACAGAAGGGGTAATTTACGGCAAGTCTAGAGTTCAATTTTTTTCAAAAAGGAGGCATTATTCTGATCAATTTTTTAATATTTACCATTTTTTCCATGGTTGAAAAGGGGCTGCGGGTCTAATAATGGTTTAATTGGTAAGAAAGGTCGAGAAAAGGAGCTTGATTTGTCAAAACAGGAACACGAAAAATTGGTGATTTTGCTTACCCAAAAAATTAAAAAGAGTGGTTTTTCACTGCAAGGGGAGCTGAGGTGTGGGAGACCTGAGTGGCAGGGAATCAGGAGGAAACGAGTCTCATCATGTTTAATCTTGTGAGAAAAAATGAGGCCAAGTCTCACATCACGGGTTTCGCATCAGTACTCATTTTGCAAGAGAGAATTGTATTAGAGCTCTCTCACTAAATATGAGACAAAAAATTAAAAAAGGGGGGTTGCAACTACGGTGGGCCAAAAACACTTATCTTTGAGAATCAAAATGCAGTGGTGCAGAAAAGCTGCATATTAGCTAACTTTGAAGCCTACCAAAGAGTTTTTTTTAAAAATATTTTGAGGTTGGGCCCTATGGTTTTGTGAAACATCTATAATTAAATTCAAGCATTTTTTTTGTTCTACCGTACTTTTCTAGTATGATAAAGATTGGTCAGAGCCCTAATTTTTTACTCACATTAAATGCCACTTTAAGGTGTGATAATTAATTTTTGGATCAAAATAATTTTTAAGGCCTCCCTGTCCCCCTAGATATGCTAAAACCGCAATTTTAAACGGTATATTGACGATTTCATCGATTTTTCTGAGGTTATCAATGAACATGCAGAAAATCAGCTCTTGGGTTTTAGGGACCAAGCCGATAACTTCAGATAAAATGTTTGTTTGTCGGATAGGGGGCGTCTACTTCAGAAAAAATGTTTGTTTGTCGGATAAGGGGCGTCTTTTCCCCTTGGAAGCTCATAATTTCGCCAAATCGCTCCATTTAGTCGAAAATGCAGCGATTTTCCTAAAATTTTTTGGCCAACTTGGCAATCATTGAAAACTTGAACTCATCACTTTTAGAGACCTTATATATATAGGCCAGTAAGAATATATAAGAATTACTTTGCCAGGGGTTGTTTTTGCATCTCCAAGGAACCAATTACCTAGTCAAAAATTACGATTTTCATCAACTTTTTATCAATTTTTGTCAATTCTTTTTAACAACCTTGGCAAGCACATAAAAAATTGAGTCTTTGATTTTTAGAGACTCTTATCATGATAGATTAAGAGGGTATACGATTTGGTGGAGGGTGGTTGTCATTATGCCTCCTCAGAACCAACAGAAATTTTGAAAATCCTATTTTCCTAGATTTTTCTAAGATTTTCGCCGATTTCTTCAATTGGCGGAGCAGAGGCAGAACTTTTTTCTTTAGTTTTTAATTTCGACCATTTAGTTAACTCCTCAGAGATACGAAAACATTTCCTGGCAAAATAATTCTTATCTATCTATACTATAAGCTCCGAGACCTCCTAATTTTGCATAACTGGTAACGCTTAGTTCCAGCGTTCTACCGGGCTGATTTTCATGATTTTTGCGGCTATTGACGGGCAATTGTCTCTGAATAAGCCCGCTTTATTCAGATTTTCAAAATGTGATCCAGGTTTTTTTATATTACGTGGTAAAGTTGCAAATTTTCCCATTTAAACAATGTAAATTTATGTTTTTTGTCATAGTTTGTTTGAGCGTTCTACAGGGCCGATTTCCATGATTTTTGTGGTTATCAACAGGTGATAGGCCCTAGATGAGCCCGCTCTAATCAGATTTTGGAAATAGGACTAGGTTCTTTACAATCAAGTTATAAAAGTGAGCGAATTTACAGATTGCTCCGCACCTGCAACCGCTATGCGCAGAAGGTTGCGCAGTGGACGAGGAAGTTGTGTAGTGGCTGAGTAGCCTGCGCATCAGCTCTACTTATCAACACAAGATTCGCCCTGGTCACTTCAAGTTGAGCGGTGGCCGAGTCGTCTAAGACGTCGGAAGCACTCACATGTTTCAAGATGTGGGTTCAAATCCTGACCCCTCAGCTGTTTATTTACAACTTGATTATCGTCATTCGTTGTTTTACTGCAATTTTTCATTAATTAGTCATTGCAAAACAAGTCCTTTTGACTTCACATTTTTTTTCTTTATTCATCAAAACGAAAATCATTTTATTCTAAAAGTAAAGTAATAAAGTATACCTCATATCGCAATTTTTTAGGGGAAAAATAAAACCAACATTGATAGGAGGCTACAAACAGGGCCGCGAAGCGGCTCATTGATGGCGTGGAGCGCCTTCACGGGGTTGGGCCGCGTAGCGGCCACGGGGCGTCGCCTCCTAGTACCCTCTCACTGATCTATATATAAGGTCTCTAAAAGTGATAAGTCCAGTTTCTTAATGATTGCCAATGTGAGCAAAAAAATTAAGGAAAATCGCGGTAACTTCGACTAAATGGAGCTATTCGGCGAAACTATGAGCTTCCGAGGGCTTAATTTATATCGAAAGTAGTGTGTTAGAAGTCAACTATCTCGAGTTTTTACGACGATAGAAATATTCCTTCAAACTTTAAAAAGTCAGTCAATTTGCTGAAATATATCCCATTTGTGCCTAAACAGCATTTTCAGTCAAGTTTCCGAATTTTTAAAAAATACTTGCTCGTCTTGCACGGCAAAATGTTCAATACAGGGTGAGCGAAAAGTCCCTGACCCCCCCTCTAACGTTTGAACACATGTTTGTATCGAAACGAAATTTTGGGGATGCTCCTAGATCAATAAGAGCTACTTTTTGGCACAACCAAAATTTTTGGGGGGCGACCCCCCCCGCAAGGGGCGCACACTAACTCGAAATTTTCAAATGGTAACCCCTCTCTTGTGATACATCGTTGGAAAGGTAATAAAAAAGAAACTTTTTGGCGCAAACCGGAGGTCGCTACGACGCGGCACTCCCCCCCCCCCCCCCCCCCCCNGGGGGGGGGGGGGGGGGGGGGGGGGGGGGGGGGGGGGGGGGGGGGGGGGGGGGGGGGGGGGGGGGGGGGGGGGGGGGGGGTGCCGCCCCTCCAAATAGTCTGGGCTCTGTCAGGTAGCTGAGTTACCTTTAAAAAGGTACCTACTTCCGCCTCGAGTGAACTGGCCGCCCCTCCTGCAAGAAAGATATTTAAACGCGGGAGGGGAGGAGGGGCTAAAATCACTCTAGGCGCAGACGATAAGGTTTTTGACGATTTTTTTCTGAAAGGACATGCAATGCCGAGAATTTTGCCGCCTCGTTTGCCTTTCTGCACCTTTCTGAACCGGACTTACGATTTTTGGAAAACTGGCCTATTTTGAACTTTGACCGAGAATAACTCGAGAACGAAAAGTTGTAGCGACCTCCGGTTTGCGCCAAAAAGTTTCTTTTTTTATTACCTTTCAAACGATGTATCACAAGAGGAGAGTTACCATTTGAAAATTTCGAATTAGTGTGCGCCCCTCGCGGGGGGGTCGCCCCCCAAAAATTTTGGATGTGCCAAAAAGTAGCTCTTATTGATCTAGGAGCATCCTCGAAATTTCGTTTCGATACAAGCATGCGTTCAAAAGTTAGAGGGGGGGTCACGGACTGTTCGCTCACCCTGTATATCAAAAGTAGTGTGTTAGGAGGCTATTATCTCAAATTTTCGGGGCTCTAGCATGACTGCTTCGTCCCTTAAAAAAATCACCAAATCGTCAAAAATCTCAGTTATCGGGATTGCAAATTTTAGAAATGTGCGATGTGGCAACATTTTACAATTTACGTACTTCTGGCAACATTTCAATGGTCATAAATGAACTTGGCGTATCAAAATCATAGGAGTACGTCAGTTTCAAGATATAAAGTTGAAACCAAACAGCGCTAGACCGTTTTTTAGGTGAAAAAACGTGATTTTTTCGTAAATTCGGAACTTTAGTTGGACTGTGCCAACAGGAGTCAAAATTTCGGAAAAAGAAAGAACACGGGTCCGTTTATAATACGAGAGGCAACTTTTCTGATATTGCCGTCAAGCGATTTCGAAAAAAAGTGTTTTTCGCTCCACCCTATGGTCCCTAAAACCCGAGAGCTGATTTTCTGCGTGTTTGATAAGCTCAAAAGTCCTTAATTAGCCATATTCTTAGCTTTGAAACGAGTAATAGTTTTTTCCTAAATTTTACACAGGGGTTGCTAAGAAGTTAAAGTCGGCAGCCATCTCCTCTCACCGCAGGCCTGATTTTCCTATTACTGTGGAACTGCAAAGGTGGCATTATCAGGTCATAGAATTAAGTCAACCGTTTGGTGGAGTGCCAAAGGGGTGTTGCTAGTTGACCATCTACCACATGGTGTGAGCATAAAGACAGAAAAGTAATGCAAAGTCCTTAAAAAGCTCAGAACTTGGATTAAAAGGCAAAGGGCGGGCCTTCTGAGTCGAAAATTTCGGCTCCTGCATGACAAATCCAGCCCTCATTTGGCGAGAGTCCTTCAAGGTTTGTTGAAAACTATCTATCAACACATTTTTTCACATCCACCTTGTTTCCCAAACTTGGCTCTTGGTGATTTTCACCTGTTCTCTAAACTTAAATCGGAACTTGGTGGATACCGCGTCGGTAGCGACGAAAAAGAGATGAAACACATCAACAGTTGGTTCCAAAATCAGATAATAGTGTTTTTTGCTGATAGGATGAGAAACTGGTGCCATGCTATGGAAAAAGCGTGGAAAAAAAAGGGAGTTACTTGGACAACTGAACCCAAGCGCTTTTTCTTTAAATTTCCTTATAATGAGTGCATTTTGGATGCCTCAAAATGAAATGCATGATAATGCACCTAGAAATCGGATCCGTGGCGAGAGCAGTTGGGTGCAATATAGATTGATTAAAAGCTTGGAGTATGATCAATAAAAGATTTTTTACAGATTTGCTCTACCTATAATATCTGCGGAGGAGAAAAATAGCAAAACTTACTTTTTGGGATACCCTTGTACATACTAGAACTTAATTCTGTGTGGGCCAGATGAAAATTCGAACGTCAATTTTTGCAAGGGACATCCTGATGTACATAACAATTGTGAAATATATAAAGGGCCTCAAAGCTATTCTAAAAAGAAGCTTGAATTGGTAAATTTTAAAGCGCATACCTAATACATGTTTACTCGTGATTCCTTTTTCTGTAATGGTTTCTCTCATTTTTTCTACAGACGCTGGCAGTATGTAGGCTTGTTTCCCCACCTGCGGTGCAATTAATGCAGCTTCAGAAGCTGTGAACGCTAGAAAAGATGAAGAAAGAAAGTGGAATGAAATGCTGAAAGTAACTTGAATTACGAGGACTACGAAGTAAGATACAAATAGAAAGGGAGAGATTTATCAAGATTATACACGATGGTAGCACTGTAGGGTAAGTCTTATTTTTGAGTTTTTCGAAATCCAAAAAGCGCTACCTCTAAAAGGTTTCGCTTTGGTGTAAAAATGAACATACTTTTGGAAAAATTTAAAAAAATTAATTTTAACCCACCTCTCACAGGGCAAAAAGGGCCTAAGTGCAAAGTTTGAATTTCTGCAACTTTAAGGTGTCATTCCGAAGTGGAAATTGAAAGTTACATTATTTAACCAATTTAATATTTGGTTTTATTCAGACATGAAAGTATCATAAAAACTTCAAGAATTTACAGGCTTTGTGAGGAGACGCCCAATTTTCCCAGACAATTCATCATTAGAGGGGGAGATTGGCAACGTCAGGAGGAGCACCGACTTTAGGAAAAACGCTGATATCCGCTGGGAAATGCGCATGCGCGCCGCCAGCCGACCCAAGCGTAGGGAGCTGGGCCACTTGCTCCGACGCTCGAGGAAAGCCAGTCTTGGGCACACGGTCGTCTGGTGCTTGTGCTGAGGGCTCAAGCCTGCACTTGCGCGTCATCGACGAGCCAATAAGTCAGACGAACGACTCTGGTTCGCTCTCAACACCATCCATATTTTTTAAGTCTATTTTCTCATCTTAGCTATCCTTTCAGTCTTGCCGAGCTCTTTCAACTGAATAGAATAGCCAACTCAGAAAATATATCGAAATTCAGTCAAGGACAGACTCTTTCTCTCTTTATTGACTACGTCTTTCATTTTTGGGAGGGTCAACAACTGCCCTACAAAAGAGCACCCACTGTTGTGTTGTGTAGGTGGTCTGCACGAGATCTCTCTCCATAGAGAGACCACGGGCGACCATTGTCCGACGCAACAGCCTCCCTGGAGCCTTGTGACGTCAGCTCGAGATATCTCTATTTAGAGACGTCCCGTCGGCTGACATCAGGACGCTCCAGCTACGCCCCCTTATTGACCCGCGATCAGGGTCATCACAGCTTTGATATTTTTTTTAAAGTTCACTTTCTTTCTGAAATTTTGAGAAGTTACTAGCAAATCTTGATATTCATCCTCTTTTTTAATTATCGATCGGCTTCATGTTTGCATGTGTCGACTACCCTTCCGGCAGAATCCTAAACCACACGCAAACTTCCCTCCCCTTTAGGTAGTTAGAATTATTGTCCCACACCAAAGGTGAAACAAAAAGGAAACTACCTGGAATACGTAAAATACTGAGGAGCATTTTCCTATTTGTTGTAAAGAGATCTGGGAGGCTGGGACATTCCAGCATGAATAGGTAATTGATTAGGGGGGTCGGGGAGACCATGATTATTCGTCACATTGAGGATGCAAGTCTCTTTTTCTTCTATGAAAAGTCGCGTGTCAAATAAAGATAAACGAATTAGAGTCTCACCGGGCTACTAAAAAAGGTTTGATAGTTTTCTTAAGGCTAATGTGACAGCAGTGCTATCAATTTTTTTTTTTTTTTTTTTTTTTTTTTTTTTTTTTGTAATTTTGAAGGTAATAATGAAATCTAACAACGTTTTATGGTGCACCAACAGGAGATGGACACTGGTTGGTACAAGATTTCATTACTACCTTCAAAATTAAAAAAAAAAAATTGATAGCACCGCTGTCACGTTAGCCTTAATAAAACTATCAAATCAAGGCGAGGGAAATAGTAAAAAGTTTGCGTGTAATCAAGGATTCTGCTGGAAGGGGAGTTCGACACATGCAAACATGAAGCCGATCGATGACTAAAAAAGAGGATGAATATCAAGTTTGCTAGTAACTTCTCAAAATTTCAAAAAGAAAGTGAACTTGAAAAAAAATATCAAAAGCCTGTAAATTCTTGAAGTGTTAGAGATACATTCATGTCTGAATAAACCCAAATATTTTGGCTGAATGTTTTTTTACCGCAGCATAGCCTTTGTCAAGCTGGTGTACATAATGGATTTTAGTGTGCCTCACTTTCTTTACAGGTCGTTTTACTAGTTAAATGAAGAAAAAGTCCACTATGGATTTCCGCGGTACGACGTCGCGTCGTGACGTCAGGTAAGTATGCGTATGCGCGCTGCGTGCGAGCGGCCGGCACTGCGCGCGCGGCCCAGCAAATATTTTTCAGAGGCTATTTATGCCTTTAAAATGCATGATATGGCAAAACGGACAAAATTTTGCGTCCTTACGACCGTAACTTAATTTCCACTTCAGAATGACACCTTAAAGTTGCATAAATTCAAACTTTGCACTTGGGGCCCTTTTTGCCCCACGAGAGGCGGGTTAAAGTTAAATTTTTTAAATTTTTCCAAAAGTATGTTTATTTTTACACCAAAGTGAAACCTTTTAGAGGTAGCGCTTTTTGGATTTTGAAAAACCCAAAAATAAGACACACCCTATAGCACTGGTTTCCTCTGAAACAAACTCCTAAGCTCAAAAAAAGCTCTTGAGTTAGGGCTGTAATGGAAGGGATCGCTTACCCTGTCCCCGTTTATATCCAGTCAAACTCTCCATGCACAGATTGGGAGCAAATACATGAGTAGGGTTGTCATAGTTGCAACCTTGGAATCCCAACATAAAGTGGCATCCCTGCTAATGAATTGGCTCCCTATCTAAGCATAGAGAGTTTGACTGGATAAGAAGGAGGACTCTCATCATACGGTAGACGATTCCCTGCAATATGACTTCAACTCTGAGAGCTTTTATCGAGCTTGGGGGTTGTTTTAGAGAGAATCAATGGCACCATCGTATTCCTGGCAAAATTTTACATACAAAAAGTACTTAAATTGCAATTCCCTGCAGCATGCAAGAGCTCCATTTTGAGAATTACCATCGCAAGCATCAATATGCTAAGTTTGCAACTAAGAGCTTACCACAAAAATACATAATTTAGATACTCTCTGGCAACGGCTGTTCAGTTCTTATCCTAGAAAGTCCACGATTCTTAGAATGAAAATTCAGAATGTCATTGATTATAATTCAGAATGTGCTGGGTTAAGAGACTAACCTGTTGTATTTCGCTGATTCTTTCCTTCATACAGCTCCAAGGTTGCGATTTCCGTTCGTCGAAATTTTTCATTAAAGAAACTATATACAACCCAATTTTCAGAGTGTATAACATGAACAGGGGGTGTTGCTCGTTTGTGAGAGGTTGAAAATGCTACTGCGCCACTTACAGCATCAATCAACCACAAATTCACGATACCTGAAAGTGAATAATTAGAGTTTTAGAAAAAGAGCTTGATGCAAAAACGGCTTTTTTCGCCCCCCCTCTGGAAGTTCTTCAGACTTTGTCTATTGATTACTCATACTTGAGCGCTTCTTTTCCCAAATTTTCAGACCCCCAAAAAATTTTGGGGGGGAGCTAGGGGGGGTGGAAGTCAAAACCTGTGAACCTCGATATCTCTTGAACAAAGAAAGATATCGAGGTCCGGTTTGGACGAAAAATCGTCTAAAATTGCATACTTTAAGATTCTAGAGGTCGAAATCCCGATGTCACATTTTTAAGTCAACAAATGTGCTTTTTTCCAGTTTTTAGGTCTAGAAAATTTCTTTTGAACGAAAAATTTACAAAGATCTCAATTTTTTATTTGAACCAGAACCAGTTTTTTAAATTATTCGTCTTTTTCCGCATCCAACGAGTGGTCCATTAAGCTGGGGAACCAAACGGTTTTGGAGTTATGATCGATTGAAGTTTCCGCTCAACGCGCGCCGACCGATTTTCGCGCGCAAAAAAGTCGGATTTGACTGTTATTAGATCAGGTTGAATGTTCAAACTGAGCAAAATGCTTTATTAGGGACTCTTGAGGGTCGCTGCGTTCAGAAATTACCGATACTTCCAAAAAATTCACGTTTTTAAAATTGCAGCTTCGGACAGGACCACTGAGCGGCCGGTCGGCGCTCAGTGGGCCTCTAAAATAGCGCTGCGGAGCTGTAATTTTAAAAACGTAAATTATTTGGAAGTATCGGTAATTTCTGAACTCAGCGACCCTCAAGAGTCCCTAATAAAGCATTTTGCTCAGTTTGAACATTCAATCTGATCTAATAACAGTCAAATCCGACTTTTTTGCGCGCGAAAATCGGTCGGCGCGCGTTGAGCGGAAACTTCAATCGATCATAACTCCGAAACCGTTTGGTTCCCCAGCTTAATGGACCACTCGTTGGATGCGGAAAAAGACGAACAATTTAAAAAACTGGTTTTGGTTCAAATAAAAAATTGAGATCTTTGTAAATTTTTCGTTCAAAAGAAATTTTCTAGACCTAAAAACTGGAAAAAAGCACATATGTTGACTTAAAAATGTGACATCGGGATTTCGACCTCTAGAATCTGAAAGTGTGCAATTTTAAACGATTTTTCGTCCAAACCGGACCTCGATATCTTTCTTTGTTCAAGAGATATCGAGGTTCACAGGTTTTGACTTCCACCCCCCCTAGCTCCCCCCCAAAATTTTTTGGGGGTCTGAAAATTTGGGAAAAGAAGCGCTCAAGTATGAGTAATCAATAGACAAAGTCTGAAGAAATTCCAGGGGGGGGGCGAAAAAAGCCGTTTTTGCATCAAGCTCTTTAGTCATCTCACAACAATGATAAAGATTCATCATAATAACAGTAAAGAATTGTGTTTCCTTCGCTGAATTTTTTACATTGATTTTCATCAGTTTTCAGAAAAATAATTCTGACAGCAGCTGTTTTGGGAATAGGATTCATCCTTAGGTCAACCCTTGGAGTGAAAAAGTTCTCACTGTTTGGCATTATACATCAAGGTTCCAGGAAAACTGAAAGTTGAAAAGAATAAATGAAATAATATGACCGCATGAACGCAATACTCTCCCCCTCCCCTCCCCCGCCCAAAAAAAGCCGCATATCCGAAAATTTTAAGAATATCGAAGGCTTGGGATAAATGATTTTACTGTTTTGATTATCTGAATCCGAAAATGAGCTCAATTTTCCGCTGTCACCCACCTAGCGACACCGAACATTGATCTGACCTATTAGTAGCATGAAATAACTTTGATGGAACATTCCAGCTCCCATTTTGATGGGTGTGGTAAATGTAACAATTTTCACTCTTCTCTAATCATTTCTTCCTTTAATATTTACTGAGACTTCTCTCAATCAAGTTCCAGCAGTAGTCCATTAGCGTATTGCAACCAAGTAACCGGATTAAAAAAATGAGTAGCACCTTCAAAATACTTTCTCTTTTTTATTTATTTCTTCTTTACAAATGAATCAATAATTTTGAAAAGGGACCATCTCCACTCTTTTGAATTTATCAGGAAAGCAAAAAAAAAACTAAAAATAAAAAAATATTCTAGAAATTGGGATTTAAAGAAAATTTTGTAACGGAAGGTCTTTAAAATCTTAGGAAATCACCCCTGAACAATATCATCTCGATTCATATTCTGTGACAGTATAGCACACATTATTGAGTGGTAATGCAGGTGACAAGTCAAAGTATAAAGGTAACAATATTATCAGTCGCGTTTGGTTCTTAAATAATCTCACAGTTTTCAGTCTAACTGGGGATGACAGGCAAATCAAACCAAGGCAGAGGCTTACTAGTAAATATATTAGTAAATGTATTTTTGGATGATACTATTCAACAAACAATTAAATTTAATTCCGAAAAGGAAATATTCCCTCCCCAAATAGACTGGTCCTTTCCAAAATTATTGGCAAATGGGACCCCCTGGAAAGAGACGTTCCACAGTGTGACTGGCTGTAAGTATTTAAAGGTGGATTCGCCTACGCGTCGGGAATAGATTCCTTCGGATAATTGAGTTAGTTAAAATTTAAGAGATGCTCCTTTTTTTAAAACATCCATTTGAGTACGACAATGAACAGAACATACTATGGAGTGGCTAAAAATTGCTTATTTTTTTTTGTTGATACATTTAAAATTTTGCAAAGAATTCTCAAATATTTCAGTTCATTTGGAGAAAAAAAGGGAGAACACCAAAGTTAATTGTAGGCATGCAACAGCCTTGAAATAAAACTTGAAATTCAATTATTTTGCAAAATTTTAAGGAATTATTGATTCAATCTCGATAAAACAGTGTGCTCATAATTTTTCTAAGATCATTGTGTGAATCTTGCACATTTTAAAGTGGATTAGCAATACATATGTAAAATCAAAAGCCTAGAATTTGAAGCAAACGTTATCTGTTTCCATCAGGAGTTTCTGAGAAGTATCCATGTGAAAAAATTTTCCTGATAAGTGAAGGAGCGTTTTTCGTGTACATTTTACTCTGGTTTGCTTCTTTTAGTTTTTAGAACCTTGTAAAGGGTATATTTTGCATTCGGTGTCTATAAATAACAAAAGAGTTCATACAATTTTTGTAAAAACCAGGAAGAGAATATACTGTCTATGTTTCTTGTAAAATTCGCAGAACCGTTCGAAGTACATCATTGCATTCATGGTCCAAGTTGCCTCATTTATTCTTTTTTTTCCTTGCAAGATGATTAGAAAAGTCTCGAGTAGTAACACCGAGCCGTTGAACGGCTTTGGACTGTTTTAACGCTTCTTTTGGCAGCTGATCTTCATAATGTAGCAAGAAAATCCGGCATTTTGCAAAATGCCTGGGCAAATACAAAAAAAGGCAATGGAAGTACTGAAATTTTGCTATTTGCGTAGGCATTTTGCACAATGCCTAGGTATTTATGAAAGTGACTTGGCATTTTTGAAAGTGATTAGACATTTCTGAAAGTCAGAGGTCGGCAATGAATTCAGGCATTTACGAAAATGCGTTGGCAAATAGGAAAATTGGCAGCATAGAGCTAATGATGGTACATTGTTTATGAAAATTCTAGTATGAGCACGAATTACACGACTATCTCTGGTGATGGTAATTCACAGCTATTAAATTTTGTCATCATTTCACCTTATTTTTCGGTCTTGTGAGAATATGCAAAAACCCTTTAGCGGTCAACATCTTCGGTGACAAGAAATGTGTCATTTCTAGAGAATTTTGTCAAATTTTTCAGATAAGAGCATGATCAAACTATACTGAACGAAAAACTAGTTCACCCCTATTTCATCTAAACATGGGCAGAATACATAGTTGGAAAGGATTTACATTTTACTTACTTTTGTGAACAGGATCCGGGTGATGAGTCGTGACAGTGATTAGATTTGGATTGATATACTTGTATAAAACACTTCGATCGCTTAATACACGCCCTTGTGAGTGGACCCTCTCGAGTGGGTTTTTACCTTCTACACTAACTATTTCTTTGCCTACATTTACCTCCCAGATAGTCTGAGCAATTAAACCCTGAGAAAAAAATCAAGCGATTTTAAAATTCGAACAAAAGTAAATGAAAAATTCACTTCAGATTACCATGTAAAGAAGAATTCAGATTCAAGGTCTAAGTCAATTCAGAGAAAACATGTAATCGCTGCTTCTATAATCCTACAATAGATCGCACTCTTGTCAATATTTCTATGAGTAAAGCGACCAACCTAAAACTTATTTGTAGAGTAATATAATGGTTTCATACATTAATTCTGAACAATGGTACAGTTAAAAATACAAGAACTTTTCCGACCAAACTGCTTATACCCATGTCCACGTGGGTAGGATTGTGCAACTTTTCCTTCTTTTTTTTACAAGTATCTGAAACCACCCACATTACGAATTTCTCGGCCAAAATAGAGAGAAAATTTGAGGCAAATTTCAGAATAAAGCTTACAGCTCTCTGACACCTAAAGAGCTGAATGTATGCAACGTTGACATGGGTATAGACTGATTGGTGATATTGGTCCTCATATACAATAACCTCAAATTTAACTGTTTTTGCGATTTCGGAGATTTTCACAGGGATTAATGAACACTATGAAATGATAAGGGACACTAAAGGATAGGGGAACTAATTCTGCACATATCTATATATTGCAACAAAATAATTTCCGCGTTTAACCGGCGTACATTCCAAGATTTGAGGAGCGTTACAGAAACACGTGCGCACTGTTACAGAGCTGTTCTAGGAAAACATTACAGAGCTGTTCTAGGAAAACATTACAGAGCTGTTCTAGGAAAACCCTGTAAAAATATAAGTCACCGACGAGTTCCTTAACCAAACCTTCACACAACAAAACCACCAACCTGTAACGAACTGCCGCTGTCTGATGAGAAAAAGTGGGACCATTCTAACTACAATCTTACACCACAGATAATAGCGCCATCCATCAACTTTTATCACTTTTGAGGAGGGGAAAGGGTCGATTTTGGACTTCATGGAATCAATGTGGGTAAAAATTTTCCTTACTTTCTGATTTTGATTAAATAGTTTCAAAATTGTGATGGAAGCCCCAATTTTCGAAGTCAGGATCTCCCTTTCAGTCTCAAGGATAACTAAGGGGGTTCCTGGATGATGGAATTCGGATTCATTGGGGTAATTTTCTGTTCGTCCCCACGATCCTCCTTTCGGTCCAACCAAAAATAACCTAGAAAAAAAGCCTGGTACTGATAGTCGAGGACACCCTGTCAGAAAATTTAATGATGATCAGAGGTTAAGAAAAAATGCTGTTTGTAGGAAACCTTGTCTATAGATATACCACACGTGTGATTTCATCATTACGAGGAATGATTCTGAAAAAAGAAAAAAATTGAACATATTCTTATCTTACTTTGTTAGGCATTTTGGATACAGCAAATCCGGTCACTAAACCAGTTGAAGGATTTGCAATGAAAAAGTACGTGCTTGGTGCCACCATGATGGCTGTTTTCAGAGTAGAACTGGGATATGCATGAACTTGCTTGTTGTCACTCAGAAGTAAAATTCCATTGAGATTCTCTTCATCCTTTTGGTGTAGCATTAAAGTCTGCTGGATTCTGTATGATAGTTTCAGGATTCCATCTCCTAGGGAACAATACGATTCATATAGTGCCCCAGCAAGTTATTCAAGTGCCCTTATTCTTCCTGCAAAAGAGCAAAAGTTCCTGGCGCCTTGTCACTAGAGAGGAGGGGGCAACAGGCCTTTGAGATGAAGCATTTGGAGTTTTCCTATAATCTTTGTTTCTTTTTTATTTTATTACACTTTTTCATCTGTAAAAAAACACAATCTTTTTTTTTTTTAATTAGTCTCTTATGCAGTCTCTTGAGCAGCACACACCAAAAACACAGCATTAAAAAAATAAATTGATGATGTTTAGTTTAATCTGTATTTTTTTAAATTGGTATTCACCCTTCCTTTCCAAATCAATGGCGAGAATGATGTGCAATGTTTCAAATGCTACAACCTGAAACCCGAATTATTAAATACTAGCGACCCTTACGTGCTTCGCTGTAGCAGTTTATGCAGATTGAATGACAGGAGAAAAAATTCGGTGATTTTCGGATTCAGCTGCCAAAATTACACAAGAGCCATTTATCCCATGCTTATTCAAGTTTCCTCTCTGTTCCTAACATCAATATTTTTTTGGACAAGTGCTCCTTTCCGCCCTCATAACGCCATGTAAAACTCATCCGATTGTTATGCATTGGAGAAGAGAGGAAAATTTTATTTCTCACATAACAAGTGGAGTTATTCCCACTCAATTCTTGACGCTGCAGCCGAAAATGATCCTCATTCTCTTCCAAAACCTTCGGAAAAATCAGTATCCCAAAAAGAAGGGATTTTTTTGAGCTGAAAAATCTATTTTTCATAAATTTTGTAGATTTTAGATGAAAAATAAGATCATTTTCGGATTTAGAGGCAGAAATTGAATGAGAATCAACCACTAGTTACCTGAGAAAATTTTTTTCCTTACTTCCTTTCCGGGGCAAAACAATCAGATGAGTTATGCATGGTGTTATATGGGCGAATAGGAGCACTGGTCCGGAAAAACCTTGATATTAGGAACAGAAAAGAAACTTTAATAGGCATGCAATACTAGATTCCCTAAGTGATTTTGGCTGCTGAATCCGAACACGGATTTAGCTTTTTTCCATCATGCACAGATTTTCCGGAACATTGATACTTCTCAGGAAAAGCTAGATTTGTGGGGAAAATTCTTATTTTTGTGGGGAACATTGACCTAACACCTAACCCAGAAAAACGGACGTGATGTTCGATATCAGCGTTCATAAATCTATCCGAGGTGAGTTGAAGAATTTCAGGCAAATCTAAAAAAATTAAAAGTCGACCATTGTTCCCAGTAAGTATTAATCTCGTTAATAACTCGATCACTTGCGCTACTTTTGCGCTACATTGAAGAATATTTGGAATGGATAAATTGTCGCTCCCAAAATTTTCTTTTATGCTTCCCATTTTATCAATGCTTGATGCTTTTGATCGGCAAACTGAAAAGACAACATTGCAAAACAAAGATTTCTCGGATCCAGGAGTGGAATAGGATAGTGAAATATTTGCGATGGACCGTCAGATGGAGGCTTGAAACAAGGAATGTGTTACTCAGTCCAAGAGTGCAAAATCCTAGGACACGCTATGCCTCGCGGTAAGCCCTACAATGACAAATTCTCAACCCCAGCACGCACCCTTCGTGAACAGGCAATGCGTAAAATATTCCTTCAGTAATGTAGGCACTAACATGCGTTTTACGGTGTCTGAACTTTGTTTGACGCGATTATTTGAACTCGCAGAATTAGCGTTTTTCAACTCAGATTTGCTTTTTTTCAAGATTTTGAGGTTCTTGTACACTCCGTACAGATAATTTTTCTTCAATATAAAAAAAAAACATGAAAATCAAATTATTTTTCTCTCTTATCGTCTTTTTAATGGCCCAAAATAGAAGCATCGAAAATAAATTGTTTTTAAGAAATACTATAAGCAGTAAGCACGCATACTTTGGGTGAATATTATTGCAATCGCAGTTGATTTTAGTGAACGTAGCTAAGAACATTTTGATTTATTTTGAGGAGTAATTGCAAACACACAGTGTAATAGCGACTGCTGAAACTTAAGATTGCAGGACTCTGCGTTTTATTTCAATTTTTTTTTTGGCAATGCGACGCTAGAACATACAAATGATGAAAAAAATTAAAATTCAAGAATATCAGCCGTGTTCTGCGATCGAGCAATTCAAATCTTCCTCCTCTTCTCTTCTTATGAATGAAATTATTGAACTGCCGCAGCGACCCTAAAATCCCCAGCCACTACGCTTCCCACACCAGAGTTTACAAATGAAAAGTAAAAAAGAAAAAGATGCGCAGCTACCGAATTCAGGTTTCCCGATGGACTGATTGTGAGCTCATAACAATCCCGCCGGCGAGCGAGATCTTGCGACACCGCGCGCTCGAGCCGTGCGCAGTCACATGAGTATAGCATAACCATGGCAACAGCGATCCGGCCTTCCTTCTCCAAAATCCGCGTGACCTACTGAGAAACTGGGTCGGTCCCGGTACCCTTGGGGGGCTCCCGCGGCTCCCCCGTTGCGGAACCCCGGGGGAGCTCGCTCCGCCCAACGCGGAACGATGGGCAGAACCTCCGATCTAAACGCGGCCCCGATTGGCCCAGCAGGAAGGGAGCCAGGCCGATTTTTCCGAAAACCGTTGAAGGGCACCAGCGCACCCCCAGATGGAGGGATCGCGAAATCCGACCTGACCGAACGTCGCCGACCCGCAGACGGAACCGGGAGCCCGGGGGACGAACGGGAAGGTAAGAAGTGGGGCACTCCGTGCGGGGGTCGTAAAAAACAGCCATTCGGGGCGAAGCGCCCCTCCGGAGAGGTTGGAGTCGGTAATTCTTGAAACTTAAGCTCCGGCCGCCCGGAGGCACCCGCGTGCGAATCCCGAGCCGAAAGAACGAACGGGGCGGGAACGGCGGCGGTTTTCCCGAAAAAACCCATGGGCCTTGTCTTCACGGGCCATTTCACGGGATATGTCCCAGGGAAAAATCTCACTTGCGAAGTTGGGAAAAATATTGAGTTAATCAATATTTTTTCCAGTACCAAGTTTGATCCTTGTACCCCTAGAAGGAACTGAGAGAGGAGGAAGAGGTGAAAACGAATTGTGCGATATTTTGTTGATTACTCCATTGTTCATGTTTGCTTTGTTAAAATAATGTGTCTAATTGTCAATTGAGTGCAATTATTATTTTAATCCCGGTTAAAAACTCGACTTTAACTAATTCATCTTCTCCCGCAAACTAGTCGTAGGACTGTATGAGCCCCGTCCCGTGGAGACGGTAACTGGGAAAAATCCCCGAAGTTTCATTCCTGCGATTCGAACTTGGGACAAATCCCATGAAAACGTACCGTGGAGACAAGGCCTTCGGGACTGCAGCAACCTCCCGGAGGGTCGGACCAGAAAACCCGGCGGGGGGACGGGAGACCCGGCCGCAGGGGTCCCGCCGGTGGATCCTCAGGGGCGTGGGACACAGGGGGGCCGCGGGACGGGGCCGAGAAGTTCAAGGTCACAGCGGACCGTCTACAGCTTCACGTATTAGGGCACCAGTGCCCCCCGGATGGAGGAGTCGCGAAATCCAACCTTATCGAACGTCGCCGACCCGCAGACGGAACCGGGAGCCCGAAGGACGAACGGGAAGGTACGAAGTGGGGCACTTCACGCGGGGGTGGGAAAAACGGCCTTTCGGGGCGGAGCGCCCGCCCGCCCGCCCCTCCGAGGAGGCCGGGGTCGGCGATTCTTCGGACATAAGCTCCGGCCGCCCGAGGGCACCCGCGTGCCGAATCCCGAGCCGGAAGGACGGACGTGGCGCGAGGGGTGGCGGTTTTACCGAAAAACTCTTGGGGGCTGCAGCAATCCTCCGGAGGGTTGGACCGGAAAATCCGAAGGGGGGACCGGAGACTCGGCCGCAGGGGTCCCGCCGATCGATCCTCCGGGGTGTGAGACACAGGGAGGCCGCGGGACGAGGCCGAGACGTTCAAAGTCACGGCGGACCGCGTAAAATTTTATTTATTAGATTATAACGATGGCAATGTAGCAATGATAAGTTGATGGGTCAAAATTGACAAATTTCATTGGTTTCAGCTGAGAGCTGATGGTTTTACCTTCATTTCAGAGCAGACATTGGCTCTCTGTAACAAACCATTCATGATACATTTTGTTTCAAACTTTTGACTTTGAAACCCTTCCCTTTCCCTCCTACATAAAAGAACTAAAAAATCTTGGGTGTTTCAGACTAGAAAAATGATTCTATATCGACCTCAAGAATATTTCCAAGTTCAGCAGGACAATTGTTTGACATCCTACGTTTTTTGATTGTACAAGACAAGGTAAAAGTGGAATCGAGTTGAGTGGTTGATCGGCTGTGTGGATGGAGCGACCGAAAACCACTGCAGGAGTCCTATATTGGGCAGGATAATCGACCGGATGTCAGCCAGCAAGGAGATACCTTTAGCCTGTGGATAATCGGCTGATAGAGAACTTGTAGAGTGACTCTTGGTCACCCCAATAACACAGCCGATCAATCACATAACTCCATTTCGCTGTAGTCTTGCCTTTTCCTATTGATTGACATAAAATTTCAATAATTGGCCTGCAAGCTAAACTTGGAAAGGTCCAATTTTGGGTACGGTCTTTAACTCGAAAGTGATAGAAACATTTTCAGATTTGAACACTGAAATAAGGATCAAGTATACTTACCCAGTGGTTCACCAGTGATAGGGTTAAATGAAAATAAGACACCATTGCGAGTGATCTGAAAAAAGAAAATAGAGGAGTTACTAGTTTTTGTTTTTTGAAAAAAAAATTATAATAGACAAGAGTATATCTGTAGTAGGTTGTACAATGCAAAGTTTTGCGACAGTATTATAGGAGTATTAGAGTGATAAGAAGGTACTGAAGTGGTTTAGAGATGGCAAGGAAAAAAGTGGAAAAATTCAAGCATGTAGTTTTTGCAAACTCAGTTTTTTTCGAACTAGGAATCTTCAGTGAAAAATACTTGAGGACAAAGCAATCATCTGGACTTCAACGTTTAGAAGGTCCTTTGACATTCAGACTTTGCAGTTTGTGTCCCTGGTAAACTCAAATCACACATAGCTTCTTAGTGCTCTAAGCAGCTAGAAATCCATTCTACTACCTAGGACTAAGTCTACTTTTGGATGATCAATGGCTTAACTGAAGATTGAAGCAGGAGATTTCTTGCATCCGAGAATTTTCTGCAGCATATTGTTTCCATTTTGGACATTTCCCTCAAAGAGCTATTAAAAAGGGGAAAGTCTCTTCAGAAGAGTCATTGTAACGTTCATTAGAAAGTAACAACATTGCATTGTCTTTGAATTGAAATAAGATGAAAACATTTGAAAAATGGAAATTCAAAACATGGTAAGCACCATCAGTTGTTGCAAAGATTGTGCAAGTAGTTCTTCACAGTTTAAGAACCAAAATGTCTTCGTTCATGAGCCACTTATTTGAAAATTTGTTGGCAGATCTGATATTCCTTTCTTAATGAGAACTGCTCTTCTCAGGCCACTGGATTCCCATGAAATGAGGGAGGAACTTGCTCAATCTTAGCAGCCCCTGATGGCCCTTGCAAGGTTTTGAAAGTCCATGCTTATCGAATCACAATGCAAAGGCAATGAAAAGTCACGAGCATTACATCGAAACATCCTAATGTAAGTTGAGACATACATTGAACATTTGGAAGATACTTCCCTTTGCTTGAAAGCTTGCACTGGAATTTAGCGAAACGGGAAGAAAATGCTGTCGGGAATTCCAAAGAACATTTGCAGGTAAGTTCCTGCTTTGATCCCTAGGCAGAGCTACTGATGTAAAAATTTAAAACTCAAGAATATTACTCACTGCATCTTGAAAAATAACAGTGCATACAGCTGGATGTGGAAAATGCCTCGTTGTCCGCTGAACGTAGAGAGGAATCGTTTGAGACTTGTCAGAGAGAGAAAAAGGAACAACATCCTTTACTAGGTAAGTCCATAAAATAGTTCCAGTTAAATTGTCAATACCAAACAGCTGTAAAACATTTCCTTTTTTAAATGAATGTCACACAGACTTAATTTTGCAAGGGAAAAAAATCAACAGGATATGTAAAAAGAACAAGTGTGATACTAAAAAACAATGGCTGTAAATGTAACATAAAGAAATGTAAAGGTTTATACTTGATCCCCAGGAAACGAAATATAAAATTCGAAAAATATAAAATACGAAATTCATAAAGAGTGTACATAGGCTGTCCCAAAAGTATCCAGACTGGTTCAGTAACTTCAAAACTACGATAGATACAGACATGATCTTGGTCTCATTTTAAAGATCAACTCAATACCTATCGATTAAGACCAAGGTCAGCACAATCGAATAAAAATTGACCGAGTTATGGCAATGTGAAATCAGTGAGTAAAGATTACCCCTATGGTTTTTAAGGAAAATTCTTCATCGACGATATTGATACCTAAAAGTATGATCTGGTATTGTGTTTTCACCCTAAAACTTCCATGCAATGCTAGAACAACCTGGCAACATTGCCCCGTGGTGGTCGGCTGTCGCCAGTTGTCGTCGTCCGCCTTTGGGCCAAGAGTCCAAAAGGCAAAAATCCCCGACCGACCAGGCGCACCCCGAACCGGTGGAATGCTGCACTTGAGAGCTTTGTGGATGCTCCATCAAGACAACGCGCGGCCTCACAACTCGAACTTTACACGTGAATTTATGAGTAAAAATGAAGTTGAAACAATCCTTCATCCTCCTTATTGCCCTGACATGGCTCCTTGTGATTTTTGGATCTCTCCTTTGCTTAAAAAGGAGTTTTGTGGGCAAAGATTCGAATCTAGGACCGAAATCCAGAATGCGATTCAGAACTTTTTCAACTATGGAGTTTTTCAACTATGGTTTCAACCCCTGGGATGGCCCAGGGGAAGAATTCAGGAAAACAATGTTAGAGAAGAGGCAAGAGTGCATGATGTTTAATGGACGGTACTTCGAAAAACAAAAGGAAGTTATGGAAGATTCGGAGGAAAGCAGAAACGAAGATTAACTTTTTGAATCCTGGTAAGCGAAAAATCTTCCTTAAAAACCGTAGGGGTAAACTTTACTCACTGATTTCAAATTGCTATAACTCGGTCAATTTTTATTCGATTGCGCTGACCTTGGTCTTAATCGATAGGTATTGAGTTGATCTTTAAAATGAGACCAAGATCATGTCTGTATCTATCGTAGTTTTGAAGTTACAGAACCAGTCCGGGTACTTTTGGGACAGCCTATGTATGTAGTTCACTATATGGGTCAAGGATAAAAGATAGCAACGGCATATAACGCGTCCCTACATACATACAGATACGCCGGTCCTACAGTGCACTCTGGCGCTCTGTGACACCCAAAAGCCACATGTACATATCTTCCCAAAGGTTATGGGACAACTGAAAACGAAACAACCCTTTGTCAACGCCCTTGCATCATCCTTTCATGGGATGTCCCTGTCGTCTCCTTCCAGAGGGTACCCGCCTACCCGATACAAAACTTGTTCGGACAACCTTTCCTCCCAGTCTTTGCACATGCCTATACGGCACTAACTGCCTGGACATGACTTCAAGCACGATAATACTTCTCAATTCCATTACCTGCCGAACTTTTTCATTACAGACACAGTCCCGGCTCGAGCTTCCGGCAGACCGCTGTTAAACCATTTCAGCTGCCCTCAACAAACCTTGTGTTCGCTTTGTTAGAGGCCTCATTTCACTACCATACAGCACAGTATTTTCCACGATGGCATTATAAGTCAATGCTCGTTTGCCTTTCAAATGATTTGATCCCAAAGAAATCCGTTCAGAATCTTGATGGCTTTCCTCCCATGGATGATCATCCATGGAGGATCATTGATCCTGTATTTAATTGTCCAAATTCATCATTCCATCCTGAGCCAGCAAAACATCTGAAGAAAATGGCAGTCAGCCAGGCGCTGCATTTGGGGTTTGTGGATCTTCAAAAAGCTTATGACACTAGTGAAATTTAGGAATCATTGGAAAAGTGGTTTTAGCAAAAGACTTGTGGGGACAATTAGAGAATTTTTTGATGGAACGATGGCAAAGGTTAAATCATACAGGAAACTGTTTGGAGTTTCTTCATCACAAAAGAAGTAAAACAAGCAGCCTGCTGTTTGTTACCCACATCATTTCAGGTGTACATGGAGCACTTATTGATGGAATGCAAAAGGAAGAGTGCCGGGATGGGAGTTCAACTCTCTGCTACAGACCCCTTACCCTATGTGCAAAAAATTGTAATTTTCAAAAAATTCTGAATTACACGTTTTCAAAGTAAAGTCTCGATAGACAAACACTATGCCATGCTATTAGGCCCCACAATTACACTAAACGTCCGTATATGCACGCACTACTACATACTCCTTCACTATAGGAGACCAACACAGCATCTTACAAGCCAACTTTTAACTATCAATTTTTACTTTTAAAGTTTGTCTTTTTCAAAGTATATGGGACGTTCTAAATGTAAATTCCATCGTTGTATTCCAAAAAAACTGTAAAAGATAAAATGAATGAGCTAAAATAATTGTGTCTGCCATACTTGCTGCATTCCAACAAACTAAAATAGTTAAAAATTGGACAACTGGTTCGCTGGCGAAGTCCGTTTAGCAGAACTAGCTTCCTTTCTGCACAAGTTCAAAACTGAAACTTGAACCTGCCCTCAGAACATTGTAATAACGAATAAAAATTGACCGGAGTATAAAAGAAACATCCTAGAGAGGTCACCTTACTTTTAATAGCAGTCTCTGCCTACGTCCACACACTTCTGATATCAATGATACAATTTTCTGATGTCGGCTGAAAATAAGCCTTCATCTTGGCTATGAAATCAGGGAAAGAAACTTCCTTTATCTTAACATCAGTGGCGAACTTACTAGCATCAAGATCTGATTGCAGTTCTGAGAAAAGGTAAAAATTACTGGGGGCTACATCTGGCAACTATGGAGAATGGAGGTGAGAACCCTGCATACACTTCTGCGATACATTTTGAAAGGTTGCTACAGAATGTGAAAAACCACTCAAAAAACGATCCTATTTAGAAATCTATAATTATTGACCAGATCAGAGATGAGCTCAGTCCAGCAAAACGGCTTTCCAGCGAATGAGAGGGCCTATTTTCAATTTCTTTCATTCGTTGGATAGGTAGCTGAAAGTATGACAGACACGTTTCTACTTATTGCAATCATTTATCGTAAATAGTTTCCGGGAAATAAGACTATGGAACTTACTTAATGGCCTCTAGAACTTCCCTCACATGGTAGGAACAAATAAACACCGCCATGCTGCCAGTCAACTTGTTAACCTCATGCACGTTAAATGACTTGGAACACCACCACAAACTTTTGAATTTGTTTTTTTTCTCAAAACTATGAACCTTGACCATGGAACTCCTGCTGGTAACGTCCTTAATTACAGTTTGGTACTAGTTTTCTAATGACCACTAGTTCATAATTACCTTCCCAACTTTGGAGACAGCAACAATAATTTTATGAAGGCCAAATTTATCTCGAACAAGATTTGTAGCTCCTAGTTTGTTCGGCTGATCCAACATCCCGCAGAACATGAAGACAAATGATTGAAGTTGATGCAGTTGACTGGAGATGCGGCGGTAAAACATGCTTAAAAAGCTAGCTGGAAAACGAAACCCAAAAATTAGTGCAACATCGATTTTGAGCCATGTTGCAATAGGGCTAAGACATTGTTCAAATTTGAGTTCGATCAACATTTTCGTTCAACGTTTGAACGTCCATCAACATTTAGAAGTCCTGACAGATCCTCAAAAATGCAAAATTTGGATAATTTTGGCATTTTTCATCTATTTTGGCAAATTCCGGTCTCTTGGAGAGTTGTAATTGATAAATGTATTCATAAATAGGCAATACATAACCTAAAATGCACCCCATTCTCCACCTAAAGCTCCCCATCCCCCCCCAACTCCCATCCCCTAACGTTCCAATATTAATACACTCTTTAAAAACTACGCTATTTTGGTAGTGAACAGAGATCGAAAGAAACACTAGCCAGAGTGGGTAAAGGAGGGGTATCGATAAGGGCCGATTTTGGCCCCACTTCAAAAAATCATCTGAACCCATATTTTAAGTACCCTAGGGTAGGTGCATTCTGGCGCAAAATATTTTTGCGATTGTGCATCGTTTTCCTGCCAAAACAGCCGACTCAATTTTTCGGCTGAAAAATGGTTTTAATTTTATGACGAGCCCAAAAAAGCTTCGTTTCATGAGTACGGGAGGTTCATGTACGTAATTTTTTGCGTACTTTTCAATGGAACAGGCGAAAATTGTCTAAACCTACTTTTAAGGGGTCATTCTAGACGTTTTCAACGATTTTTGGGGTTTTTTGGCAATTTTTCACCTATAACTAGAAAACTGATGATTATACAACAAAAACGATTGCAGATTCAAAAAGAGCGTAAAAAATCCGTTAGAAATCATTGGTTAGACATTTTCTCAGCTTAAACTGTCAACACGAAAAACAGCTCTAAACTTGAGAAAACCGAAAAAACTGCATTTTCCACGATTATTAGTCTTCATTTACACCCAGCACAATTTTGCCACATCACCAAAATTTAACAGATTAAAGTTACATGCCAGTACATGAAACACGCCAAAAATTACGGTGTGGAAAAATTGTGCTCATAGTTAAAAATGGACTTTTGTTGAATGGAACCATCCTTGAATAAAAGATGAAAATTCTCTAACTCTCCGGGAAGATTCGCCAATCATTCATGGGATACCTGTATCCTGGTAATTTTTTGCGTACTTTCGATTGGGACGAGTGAAAATGGTGAAAAATCATGTTAAGTGGGCCATTCAGAGAATTTTTCAATATTTTAGGGGGGTTTTGGGGTTTTTCTGTGGGGGGGTAGGGGTTGTTGGGGGGCTTGGAGAGCATTTTTTGTTTGTAATACACCAAAAAAATAACAAATTCAGAAAGAACGCGAAAAATTCGATAGGATTCGATACTTGACACTCTCTCTCAGCTTGGACTGTCCACACGAAAAACGGTCTCAAACTCGAGAAACTGGGAAAAACGGCCTTTTCTCCAGCTCCCCAGTCATAATTTACATCCTGGTCACTTAACAGGTTAGATCGTTAAGGAGTATACAAGGTGTAACAACTAAGTGACGACAAACTTCCAGGGGTTGTTCCATGGCTCAAAACAAGCAGAAAAGTCCCGTACCAAAATCCTTTACGATGCGTGGTTCTCGACTTTCGGGGAGTTCAATTTTTGAAAAAAATACCGCACGTGTTCAGATATGACGTCACAGTGGCTGTCCGAATTGTCGGAACCGAAAAAACTTGTGGTTTCGTAAAGTGATCATCAATAGCTTAACAAAAGGTATTTTCGTTTTTTTTTTCGTAAAACCCCTCTTAATGGAGTTATGGACCGTAAAAAAAATACCGTATTACCGCACGTCGCAAATAAAGTTGGTCAGGACGTACGGTAAAATGGTATTTTTTTTAACGGTCAATAACTCCACTAGGTTTTATTAAAGAAATACCAGAGGGTGGTTCGGGTGTGTATGCAGAAGGCAGATGTAAGGCCCTTATTTAAGTTTTTAACTGTAATGCGATGTATTTTAGTACTAAGTATACAGTTTGTATATGATTGTTCAGAATAAAGTGACTTGTTTAATGAAGAAAGAAATAAATGAATGAATAATTATAATAAAAAAAAAATTTAAAAATTTATCTCCATTAGAGGGGGTTTTACGAAAAAAAAACGAAAATACCTTTTGTTAAGCTATTGATGTAAATTATGACTGGGGAGCTGGAGAAAAGGCCGTTTTTTCCAGTTTCTCGAGTTTGAGACCGTTTTTCGTGTGGACAGTCCAAGCTGAGAGAGAGTGTCAAGTATCGAATCCTATCGAATTTTTCGCGTTCTTTCTGAATTTGTTATTTTTTTGGTGTATTACAAACAAAAAATGCTCTCCAAGCCCCCCAACAACCCCTACCCCCCCACAGAAAAACCCCAAAACCCCCCTAAAATATTGAAAAATTCTCTGAATGGCCCACTTAACATGATTTTTCACCATTTTCACTCGTCCCAATCGAAAGTACGCAAAAAATTACCAGGATACAGGTATCCCATGAATGATTGGCGAATCTTCCCGGAGAGTTAGAGAATTTTCATCTTTTATTCAAGGATGGTTCCATTCAACAAAAGTCCATTTTTAACTATGAGCACAATTTTTCCACACCGTAATTTTTGGCGTGTTTCATGTACTGGCATGTAACTTTAATCTGTTAAATTTTGGTGATGTGGCAAAATTGTGCTGGGTGTAAATGAAGACTAATAATCGTGGAAAATGCAGTTTTTTCGGTTTTCTCAAGTTTAGAGCTGTTTTTCGTGTTGACAGTTTAAGCTGAGAAAATGTCTAACCAATGATTTCTAACGGATTTTTTACGCTCTTTTTGAATCTGCAATCGTTTTTGTTGTATAATCATCAGTTTTCTAGTTATAGGTGAAAAATTGCCAAAAAACCCCAAAAATCGTTGAAAACGTCTAGAATGACCCCTTAAAAGTAGGTTTAGACAATTTTCGCCTGTTCCATTGAAAAGTACGCAAAAAATTACGTACATGAACCTCCCGTACTCATGAAACGAAGCTTTTTTGGGCTCGTCATAAAATTAAAACCATTTTTCAGCCGAAAAATTGAGTCGGCTGTTTTGGCAGGAAAACGATGCACAATCGCAAAAATATTTTGCGCCAGAATGCACCTACCCTAGGGTACTTAAAATATGGGTTCAGATGATTTTTTGAAGTGGGGCCAAAATCGGCCCTTATCGATACCCCTCCTTTGCCACAAAGCATTCCACAGGGTAGGGGTAGTTTCTAGCCTTGAGTCCGAGGATGACCTCTGTCATGCTAGGTCAGGTCGATTTTCCCAGGAAAAATTAAGATTTCCCCTGAAAATTGAGCTTTTCCAGTGAAAAACCAATTTTCCGAAAAATCTGTGCAGACTGGAGAAAAGCTGAGGTCATTTCCAGATTCAGCAGCCAAAACTTCACGGTGATCATTGTATTATATGCCTATTTAAGTTTCCATTCTCTTCCTAATTAATATCAAGGTTTCTCCGAACAAGTGCTCCTTTCCGCCCATGCAACACAATTTTTTTTTCAGGCAACAGTTGGAGTTAACTACACTCAATTTTTGCCGCTGAAGCTGAAAATGACCCTCATTTTATTCCCGAACCTTCAAGGAATCACGATTCCGAAAAGAGGGTAGTTTATTAAACTTTTTTGAGCTAAAAAAACGCATTTTTTCGAAAAATGGATTTTTCAAAAAATTGATAGATTTGGGAGAAAATGAGGGTCACTTTCGGCTTCAGCGGCAAAAATTGGATGGAGTTAAATCCACCTGTTGCCTGAGCAAAAACAATTTCCCTCCTTTCTGACGCAAAACAATCGGATTAGTACTAAATGTGATACATGGGCGGAAAGGAGTACTTGTTCGGAAAAACCTTGATATTAGGAAGAGTATGGAAACTTAAACAGGCATACAATACAATGATCACCATGGAATTTTTGCTGCTGAATCTGAAAATGACCTTAACTTTTCTCCAGTCTGCACAGATTTTCCGGAAAATTGGTTTTTCACTGGAAAAGCTCGATTTTTAGGGGAAATCCTGATTTTTCCTGGGAAAATCGACCTGACCTAGCATGACAGAGGTCACTCTCGGACTCAGGGCTAAAAACTACCCCTACCCTGTGGAATGTTTTGTGGCAAATTTACCCGCCTTGGCTAGTGCTTCTTTCGATCTCTGTTCACTACCAAAATAGCGTAGTTTATAAAGAGTGTATTAATATTGGAACGTTAGGGGATGGGGATATTTAGGTGAAGAATGGGGTGCATTTTAGGTTATGTTTTGCCTATTTATGAATACATTTATCAATTAGAACTCTCCAAGAGACCTGAGAAAATTTGCCAATATAGATGAAAAATTCAAAAATTATCCAAATTTTGCATTTTTGAGGGTCCTTCTGGACTTCTAAATATTCATCAACTGCAAAATCGTTCAACAACGTTTGTTTTCACATTATTTGGAACGTTTTGGTGGGGTCCCTTGTCAATTTGGAAATTCATCATTTTAATTTGTTCGTGTAAGCCGCACCCTAGTGGGAACAAACGCTTCTTGTCATCGATTTTCTTGAAAATAGTGTGTTATATGGAAGACAAAGTTATTCTGTATGAAGTGTTTGAAATTATATTCTAAGTTGAACTCAGCCAAAAATACGGACGTTGTGGTCCGTTTTCCATACTTTGAATTTTCGATTTTGCTTGAGTATCCACGCCATATTGTACCTACCTTAAATGAGGAGGAAAAGAAAGGGAATGTCGATAGTTAACAAAAAAAAAAAAAAAAAAAAAAGAGGTGGTGGTCGCATTTTCAGGATTTTTTTATCCCGGTTTTCCTTTTTTTTCTCACAGGGTAAAAAAATCCTCAAAATGCGACCACCTTTTTTTTAGTGACTATCGACATTCCTTTGTTTTTTCCTCCTCAATTTTATCATTCCAATGTGTGTTCCTCCTTCAAAATTTCATATTGAACATGGCTTGTGTGAAAGAAATTACAGGAATTAAGTCCCATTCAAGATCTTAACATTTTTATCTGGCATGGGTTATGAAAAATTTGAATGTACTGCTAACAAGCAAAACAAAAGTGTTCTTAGATCAAAACGTGCGCCACAACTGTTTTCATAGGCTTCTCAAAAAACATTCTCCTTCCCCACCCTGTGTTGTTCAAAGAGCAAACACCATATCATATCTGCGCCAAAGCGGCAATGTTGAGGTTGGCAGATTTTCTTACTGCACAGACTATCCTGGTAACAATTAGTGTGTGATTTAACTCAAGAAGATTATTGTTTTTTTTCTTTTTTTTCTTCTTTTTTCTCCTTTTTTTTCATGAGCAGGAACTTTGAATTTATGCATGGAAAAACGGTAATATCTTTGGTAGGAGTTACTTTCAATAATGTTGCTTGCCCAAATCATGTTCTACAAGAAATTGTGATGAGAAAACATATATAATAATGCTCAAATTCGCACTTTGTGTAGTCATCCAATCAACAGTGCAGTTGTGTGCATCAGTACAAATTGAGAGTTTCAATTCAACCATTGCTAAATTACTCACATGATACTCCACCATCAACTGCAGCGGGAAAAAGGAAGCATAGAGTTAGAGGGTTGTCTTCAATGTACGTAGAGCAAAATGAGTAGAGCCTGAAAAATTTCGTTTTCCCTTTCTTTTTTTTACTTTAATCTTAAAACATTTTTTTCAATCTTTATGAAGTTGGATTTTAAAATTTTCCTTTATAGATTACCACACCATACAAATCTTGATAAAAATGACAAAGATTTCTTCATTTTTGAAAAACTTGTAAAAAATTAGAATACCGTTATTTTAGCCGAGAAAACAATTTCTACAGTCAAAAAGGAGCGCCTTGGAGAACACAACCTTCCCACACTTCACACTTCATCCCAATAACGCATATTGTGATAAGGATTTATTTCATTGTTACTTCACTTGATTTTTCTTACTTGTTAAAAATCATATAATACATCATAAAAAAGCAAACGAATAATGAGGCAACAAAGGTTCAGAACCTTAAAAACAACGATTTTGGATAACCTTAGAGATATTGCGATAGATTTGATTCCTTATTGTTAAATTCAACCCATTATGAATTTTATGAATTTTACTACGTTGCTTAAGAAAGGACCCTGTTCAAAATCGACCTTAATCAATTTCAACCTCGACCTAATCTCCGAAATATTTTCAGAGTTGATCACTTCTCGAGTCAAAAGCTATGATTTTTGAAATTGAATAATTAGAGTGAAGGGAAGGGGGTTAAAGCTAAAACGTTAAACTGGCATACCTCGTGAACAGTTCCTTGTAGAGTGACGACCTTGGTCTCAAAATTTAGAGAAAACCGTCAGCTTTCAGCTGATATTTACGAAATTGGTCCCTTAAGAAATTTTCATCCATTATTGCTACATTGCTTTGGCCAGAGGTGGAAAAAGAAACAAAAGGCTCGAATACATTTTACAAAATTTGAAATTTATTAATTTTTTTCTGAATTATTAATTGTACCTTTGGAGATCCGTTCCAACTGGTCTTCCTGTTGATGTGGCAGTATTATGCTACCCCAATGAGGTGCTATACACAAAAGGGGGGCATAAAGAGGAATTAAAGGAGTCAAATCCCAACCTAACCTCTAAACCAAACGAAAACATTTGCAACAAGTGAATGTTTTAGGCTTGGGGTAAAAAATTTCAAAATCTAAAATCACTGTTTCAAGGCTTTTTTTGGCCTTCTGAATTCATCCCCAAAAGTTTCAAACAATTTTGTGAAATTTCACGCAAATAAATTTCATGAGATTTTCCACCTCTGACTAGGGCTCAATTTTTCAATTTTTTACACTTTGAGCTGTGGCGTCAAAAAGATTGCCCGAAAATAGAAAAATTCTTGGTTTATGAAAGCAGACGGTACAAGCTTCAAACGAAGCCCAAGGCTCACTCTGGGGAAACTATTAAAAGCTGAGTTATGGTTTATCAAAGTTGACGCGGAGCACAAGAACCTGGTATGTTCAGAGTCCTCAGATCACCCATGCCTCCAAACTGACCACGAGTTACAACGTTTTCCATTTTTATACTTCTTAAGGTCTTTCCTAGACAAACTCATCCGATAAAAGAGACGAAATCAGGAAAAATGAATATTATGCAATGGACATATGGGGTTAAAAGTTTCAATCCTGAAAAATGATGTATATCTTCCACGGTTCACTTTGGAGAAATGATGAAGGTCCTAAAATTTGGAGGTCAAAATGAATTTTTGGTTTAAATTAATGGAAATTATCTATTTTGAAATTTTAATCCACCATTGCCAAATTGTATCATGTTGTGAAATTTTGGCACGAAACACTTGAAGAATCTTGACGAGAAAAAAAGAGGAGTAGCTCATGAAAGTAAGCAGTCCGAGCTTCTGAAAAAATCCTTGTCCGTTCCAAAGAACTGATTTCAAGCAGAGTTATGATTTTTAAAAGTTTAGGCTAGGTGGGAGCGTCATCTGAGCCTCTCGTCCTTGAACATTCATACGTCTTGATTTTTTGGTCGTTTTTTAATGATATTTCAAAACTCAGACCGAGGTTGGAAATGACCGATTTCAAATAGGGTCCTTCGTCATCATACAGAGAGTGAGAAAACTCCTAGAAGACCGCTACAAACACGAATTTTGACTCATTTTGAAAGTTTGCCACCCATCGACCTCTTTGACTTGGTCTAAGGCAAAAAAAAAGCATAGCGAAAAATCCCATACCCCCCCCCCCCCCCCCCCCCCCCGTAACGGGGAAATTTTTCCCCCGTTTTAAAGTTTAAGTTGTATATAATCAAACAAATTGAAACGAGGAGTAAAGTCTCGAGCGCGCACGCTTGGCACCGCCGCGCCTGCGCCGGCGAGCAAAGGAAGGAAAATAATATTTCGACGCTCAGTTGACGCTCGGTGTCCGTCCGAGTACCGCGGCGCGCCAATAGATGGCGCTACGGCGATTCCGATCATTTTGAAAAATTTTACCATTATTTTTAAAATTTAAAAAAAATTGCCTTTAAATTTTATTGTATGGATCGATAAGAGAAGTCAAGGCAAAACCTGTGATGTAAATTTTATGTTTTTGAGGAAATTATATACCTATGCTTAAGGAAATGAACGGAACTCGAGTCCTTGGTTTTTTGAAAATTTAAAAACAGTGGCGTCCCCGCAGCCCGGCCGTGCCCGGTGTCAGCGGTTCCGATCCAGCTGACTTTTAGCGAGAAATCTAGTACGCCGATCGAGGTGCGGCGAGGTGAGCCTGCATTTCTCCTCTTACTTTGCGATTCTTGCTTGCTGTGTCTACGGTTAAAGCAAATAAGCAGTACGGTGGATAAGGCTTTACCGAAGATTTGCTCCAGCTTTGGACCTCTTAGGTTTTGGTTGCGTGAGACATGGAAACCCGAGCTGAGGATCATTACCCCTGCAAACATGATCTAAGAGGAGAGGCCTTTCCTTGAAGGAAAGCGCAGAGCGAGGTGCGCGAGCTCAGCTGCATCTCTCTGCGAGTTCTCCAGAGAAAAGTAGTAGACCTTAGATTTTGTAGGTAGTCATCTTAAGAGATGAAGTTTATTTTTCATACTTTCCGAACTATTTCCCCTCGAGTTTCGGTCAGAATGTCCGTAAAATTTTAAGAATGTATTGTTATTACCTGTGTAAATTATTGTCAAATCTCAATTTAAATTTAATAAATCATGGTGAGTTAAAAAACAGGCTTTCAACCTTTGAAAAAAGTAGAGTGAAGTAGTGGCGTGCGAGCTGAGCAGCATCAGACGGAGCTCTGCTAAGTTACCTTTCCCCTTGGAGTTAAAAAGTTGTTGTCTCTCTCTCAATTTCACAATTTTTTCTCTACAGCGCCCGAATCCAGGCATCCCACTGCAGTTTATCCGGCACCGTGAAGTAACGGCGGCGGAACTTTTTTTACCGAGATTTTCTCCTGTGAGGCTTCGAAGACCTGTCTTTGCGTTTTTCGTCCAGACGGGGGACATTCGCCTCGTTACAACCCCCCCCCCCTCTAACTTTTGACCTAATTAAGGTAAAGATTTGAAACTTGGGGGATGTTCGTAAGTCAAAGGGAGGGGTTACGGACCCCAACTTCTATTTCTTGAATGGAAACACCTCCTCCCCCCCTTTCATGATACTTCATTTGAAGGAACATAAAAAAGGAAATTTTTTTACGCAAACCCGAAGTCATTATCTCAAATCGTTTCAAAATGGCGGCCGGTTAAAGTTTAAAATGGCCGAAAATTGGCAACCTTGGTTTTTGCTGATAGATTTGTCTGAAACTTCGTATCTGACAGTATCTTGGCACGAAAAAAGTAAAGACGTTAGAAATTGAGAAAAACCGAGGTTGCCAGTTTTTAGGAGGGGGCCCTCTCGTAAGGGGGCCTCCTCCTAAACATTTTGGGGGGCCAAGTAGTAGCTCCCTTTGACTAGAAACGTTCCTCTAAATTTAAAATCTTTACCTCAATTGGGTCATAAGTTAGAGGGTTACCCAGGGACCTTTCGCATCTGTAGAATCAATTTTATAGAATAGTTGACAAGCTTTAATTTTGAAAAGAACTAATTTCATCTTTGGATCAACCCTTGGCAGGTCAGTATAGTGCAGTGGGCGAACTGGGCTGTAGTATATGGGCCAAAAATGAAAAAAAAAGAGGACTTCAGGCTTTTGTGTCAAATTTGGTAACGTTGTAGCACAAAGTTGAAATCCGGATTCATTGTCAGCTTCAGAAATTAAAACAGCAATGCTAAAATCACAGTAATTTGGGATTTAAGGGGCTAAAATTTCTGTTTTTGGACCTCCTTCACGGGAAAAAATGCAAGATTTCCTTTCTGCAAGGCTTTACTTCTACTTATTCGAACCAATGTTATTTTTGCTGCAGACTCCAAGGCTCTCAGGATAAGGTGTAAGATCAATATTTCAAAATATTTGTTGCTTTGCAATTTTTTCTGGGACCAAATGGAAAAGGAACATGTCTGAGGGTATGATTCTTTGGAATTTTTTCTACTTGGAGCACCCAATCATTTGTTCTTTAATTAATGAAAAAGCGGGTGCAGCAACTTTGACATGATAAAACTCCTGGTTTAAACATTTCCCCGGTGGACAGTTTGAAGTACCTTCTGGAAATGGAGTGTAGAATCTAAGTACCTGGTATACATTTTCATGGAATTATTAAACACTGCTAAAAAATGGCAAAATATACATTTGTGTACCTTAGAAAATGAAAAAAATAAATAGGTACAAAATTGAAATTTTGTTAATCTTTTGCTGAACGGACAAAAAGATCTAGTAAAGATCCTTCATTTAAAGTAAGTTCAACATGATCTAATGAGCCATCTACGAGGGGCGTTCAATAAGTAAGTATCCCCCCTCTCTAAAATCCATAAAAATGGACCAATTTTAAAAAAACTTGGGCTCAAAATCTTCCTTAGGATATTTTGAGTTCAACGAAACAAACCGCAACAAAATCGGACCATGTGCGGTCGAACGCGAGCCGTTTGAACGCGCCGAGGTGCTCGACGCTCCCGCCAAATCCGCGAGGATTTAAAGTCCGCTACAGGAGAAGAGCTTCTCTGCCAAAGCCTTAGTCGTTCATCACTGACGAAAAATCAAAGAAATTTTTGTAGAATAAGGGGCTTACCTCACTTCTTCACGTAACCAGCTCGATCCAAGCATGTCTGATACTGAGACTAAGACTAAGAGAACAGCTTTTGGATGCCTCGTGCGTGGAAGTCTTTCAGCTGACCGCGGATGAAAGAGTGGACGGCTTGTTTGACCTCTTCCACTGATTCAAAATTAACTCCTCCGAGTTCAGATTTGAGGAACGGGAATAAATGGTGGTCTGGTTTGCTATTTATTATCGTATCTGAAATCTGAACTCGGAGGAGTTAATTTTGAATCAGTGGAAGAGGTCAAACAAGCCGTCCACTCTTTCATCCGCGGTCAGCTGAAAGACTTCCACGCACGAGGCATCCAAAAGCTGTTCTCTTAGTCTTAGTCTCAGTATCAGACTTGCTTGGATCGAGCTGGTTATGTGGAGAAGTGAGGTAAGCCCCTTATTCTACAAAAATTTCTTTGATTTTTCGTCAGTGATGAACGACTAAGGCTTTGGCAGAGAAGCTCTTCTCCTGTAGCGGACTTCAAATCCTCGCGGATTTGGCGGGAGCGTCGAGCACCTCGGCGCGTTCAAACGGCTCGCGGCCCGCACATGGTCCGATTTTGTTGCGGTTTGTTTCGTTGAACTCAAAATATCCTAAGGAAGATTTTGAGCCCAAGTTTTTTTAAAATTGGTCCATTCTTATGGATTTTAGAGAGGGGGGATACTTACTTATTGAACGCCCCTCGTAAAAGCTATAGGCAATTGAGGGTTTTGACTCTAACTCTCTCTCTCCCCCCTTTAGCCCTGCCACCCCTCAATGGTGGGCGGTTACAGGAAATAATCCGCCATATTTGAGCATCTTACTTGCTACTGTATCATCCCTAAAAAAACGGATTATATGTGGTGGGCGCCCGAATCTAATGAGAGATGAGGCGGCCGCTTCAAAGAAGATTTTTTTTATGTACAGAATGTAACACAGGACAGCAAAATTGGCCGACTTTTGACCGTAATTGAGCAGGACTCTTCCTGCCTCTGGCTTTAGTGACACCGTTTGCCCCCATTCCAAATCCTATCAATAGAAAATACGGCTTGAACTTACATTCTTTATTGTTGAATTCCTTCTCAATTGCAGCTTCTTCCTCTGATACTCCAAGATCAATTAGTTGAACATTAACAATACTGGCTAAACCTTCTTCACGGTACCATGATATTTTTGGACCTAATTAACAAAAAGAACACTTGAGCTAAAAGAATAACTTGGGTTTCATTTTCATTTTTACTGACATTATGTCCACCATTTACACAAAGCCAAAAAATTAGGCGATTTTACTGTGTGGGAGCCGCGATGTTCTAGATCAAACTTGCAAACTATTTTATATGCGGTAGATGTAAATAAGGCGCTACGCATTGCCTTTCTTAACCTCTGAAGAACACTTAAGCTATACTCCTTTCTATGTAACAACGCCCTCTTCTTGCTCGCACTCAAGTGGACGCACGAGCAATGCGATATGGAGTCCACTACCAGTCGCAACTATTCCTTTAATTGAGAATAACATGCTGCGCGACCCTTTCATTTCATGATAGGGTACGCGACTGAGATCTCCCTGCATCTGCCATTTGAGTCTGAAACGGCAATTAGTTGCTGAAACGCAATTGGCAGATGCGTGGAGAAGGAATCGTATCGTGTTTGCACTAGCCGGGCCTGTAAGCACGTAACTGTGTGTGGGATCCAAACTAGAATGCCCAACAACTGAGTGGGAGAACTCATATTTCTTCCACCATGCACTGACATGTCAGAAAATTGTCCGCAAGTTCAATCACGAATATCTCAGTCTCAGTTCCCTATTGGTGGAATCGCCTAATTTTTTGGCTTTGTGCTGATGAACTTCATATTGCCCTATTGAAGTTTCACCATATTGTACAGGGTGCCACTGAGCCCCCAAAGGTGTGCAGGATTCTTTGTTTTAATTATGTTGCTATATGTAAGCCCCAAGATTCTTCCCTTCATCTCTTTCCATCAAATATTTATTTAATATTCTCAAATTTCTTGCTTGTGTGCTTGATTCTTCTTGTTTCTTCAAAACTGATGGATGTAGTAAAATATTAATTTTATCATCTGAGCAACATTAAACCATTGAAATTCTCTCAATTAAATTATTTTGATGAATATGTTGCCAATGTCATTTACTATTTTATGTAAATAACTTTCTTTCATTTAAAAGTCTTTTCAATAAACAAGAAACTTCAGTTATCGTTTCTTTAACATACCCTTGATCATAGATGTTTCACATGCCTAGTTCTTTGATTAATGTTGAGAAAAATGAGAGAAAATCTATTACACAACTAGGTGGTTAAGAGACGTATTTAAATTTCTCCCATTCCCATGAGCTTGATTTTGAGACTGCGCCATAGCGCACGTTATTTTTAGTGTCGAGAGGGATGAAGGTACACTTTGAAGACCATTTTCTCCTTGGCCCTGTCATTGACGGAGGTTTCACCCTCCCCTTGTGAGCCTCGCGGACGTGCCTTTTCAGAGTCAATTTCTTTCATGCTATGACCCTCTTATCACTTTACCACAGCCAGCATCACCTTGATGTGACCCACATACCACTTTGACATCCCCGAAGGGCCTCTCATCAGGGTGACATAGACCCCATGCCCCATGTATGCCTCTATTCTGCCGTGATACCGCAGAGAGCAGTAAGTGCATTTCTGTATGAGCCATAGTTAGCATATGCTTTAATGAGTCTTAAGCTTTGTCCCAGCATGCACTTACTGCTCTTTTTGCTATCACAGCAGTATTATTTACCTCCTCGAGTTCTGAGCTGCACAGTCGTATCCCATTATAATGTTTCTCAAAACAAATTTTTCCGGAAACAACGTTTGATTTTCCAAGTCCCAGCCAAACGTCCATGAAAACCGTGTAAAAATTTTAGCTTTATGTAATTTTCTGAAGTAAATTTTATCTGCAGAGAACGTTCGATTATTTTTTTTTTTTTGCCCTGCTCGAGGAAAAAAACGTGTTGTCGAGTAAATAACATGCCGAGTTGGCAACGATGCAAAGTGACCGCTGTCGCAGAGAGCTTTCTGTGATAATGTTCGTGTGGAACTGCGTTTGAGGTGCATAAATCAGTCTCCGGCTGCCGTCTTCAAAATCAGCGTGTCTCATGATTAGTGAACACAAATTTCCAACGGAAGATTTTTTCTTTAAACGTGAAGAAAAATATGATTTGTGAAGTAGACTCGAATGTGAACTTGAAAAAGGCAAAGATAGCAGAGAGGTTTGTGGTACCAGTCTCTACTCTAAATACCACTTATTCTAACGGGCGAAAAGTAAGCAAAAAGTGTCAAAAAGTGGTGCCAGGACACTGAGGCGGAAAACAGCGAAAGGACCTAAATTTTTGGGAGTAGAAAATGCATTTCAGAATGTTTCGAACCTTTCTACTGGAACTGTCTTTGAAACAATGCTCTAAAACATTGTTTTGAATCACCGTCTTTTCTGAAACAATGTTTGATTTTCTATTCCCCTTCAGAAACGTTATAACGAGAGATGACTGTACTTAAATTGAAAATGCTGCATTCTTAAATGAATTATCATTCCTCAATGAGAAAAGAGAAAAAATGATGAATGACAAATCTTACCAGAAGTGTTAATATACACAATGGTATCATCAACGGTGCTAACTATAAGATCACATGAAATAGTCTTAGCTCTTTCAACTATACAGTGTGCAGCTGGGAGACTGGCTCCTGCAATAGAAGTGGGCAAAGAAAATGTTTTTGACAATTCTGTCAGCTTTTCATCACTTTCCAAGACAGAGCCAGTGACAACTAAATTCTGAATAAATAAAAAAAAGAAAGATACAAGTACGTCTCAAGCAATAATAGAAAAAACAACATAGTGGTTATCATTAAAAAAGGTAAGGACAAAAAAAAGAGCCTCCAATTGAAAAGGTTCCGTGAAAACGAAAACATCGTGAAAAATTTTCATTGGTATGTTTTACTGTAAGAGCTGTCGACAAATGCTCATAATGATAGACTGTTTTATGAAATTAAATATATTTTTTGCTTTGATATCTCCCAGTTACTTTATCCAGCAAAAATTCAGGGGAAATTTAATCAGTGAGCGGCGCTTCAAAATCTTCAGAAAAAAGTAACTGACCAATTTTCTTTTAACATTAGAACTGAGTAGCATGTTAAGACATGGCAACTGGTGCCTTACCTGAGTTGTTTTAAGAGTTTGGCTGCTGATTGCTGAATGAGGGAAACAGTTTTTCTCAAATTGAGGTTGAGGGGGGGGGGGGAGCGACTGACAAATTTTCTCTCTGCCCAAGTATTGACTGGAAAGTCAAGATACAGCAATTGATGTCTTGCTTGATGTGTTTGAATAAAGGTTGCTGACTTCCCAACGTAAAAAATTTGAATTTGACTAGAATGACAGACAAAGTTTTTTGTGACACTGGTGAAGGTTAGCGAGAGACTAGAAATTTTTCAATCATACTTTGAAATTGCTTGAAAAATTCGGGCTGCAAACTTTGCGGGAGTGTATGATAACATGTTTGATTACCTTTCCTTGCTGAGTGACTTGAGCCGCAACAAATTTGCCTGGTGATAAAGAATGTATAGAGGTATCCGATTCATAGGGGATTACAGTAGGTTGCACAACAATTTGAACTGAATCTACGGTGATAAGCAATTTCTTTCGGGTGAGAGGTTGAACAGCCATGAATGCTGGTATGACGGAACTGCTGACTGCGTTTACGGTATACTCTCCATGTGGAAGAGAGCCAGTGAAATGTTTCAAGTCATGATCTAAAAATGTGACTGCGTTTAAGGCTCCAGATTCTGAAGCACACAGGAGGACACCATTCGAAATGCTGCAGCTGGAAGCAACAGAGAGAAAGAAGTTGTGATTTGTTAAGATTTAGCCATGTTCGGCAGCACAAGGAGATCAAGGAAAACCAATGTTGGCTTACAGGCAACTGAATGTAGCATTGTCCAGATGTAGGATTAAAGAAGATTTAAAAATGAAAATTATTAATTATGATGGAAATAAAAATAGGAACACAATACTGAACATCGTGTATCAAGAAGTTTTGCAGTAATGCAAAATTCTCACTCTGAAAATGATTGTCATAAAAATCGAGCAATGAAAAATGTAAAAAAATGTATTGTAATGTATATGCATACGACCTTATATCAGTTGTCACAACTGGAGAAACAAATACCATTAGCTACTACAAAAAAAAGAAAAAAAAGAATTAATCCGTAAAACCAAAAGATCTTCAGGAGTATTAATGAAAATTACGACAATAATGTAGAAAAAAATTGACTGATGTTCTCTTTATAAAATGACGGAGCATATGAAAGGGTTGGGCCGCAGAGTGGCCAGGGGGCCTGCCACTTAATATATATATGAGGACTTATCTGTAACAATAGCGGATGTTGAGTTTTCACATTAAGAGAAAATCGCGTTTGAAGTTTTTGAAGCTTTGCACTTTTCCGCCCGTAGGCCCGAGAGGATTCTTAAAAAGATTTTCATGAAGAGCACCTCTTCTGGTAAAAAACACAGGTTTCAATATATATTTAAAAGAAAAATTGAAGGAGTAACAGCGATTTGAAAAAAATATGACACCCGCTATTTTTACTGCAAACACTTTTTTATGAACGAGACAAAGTTTCCAGGAAGGGTAAGGCTGGTGAAACGATTGAAATGAACCAAAAGTAAGTCAATGCTGAGTCATATAACAAAATTGAACAAGAAACTAAACCGTTTGTAACTTTTACAACAAAAACAAGGAAGAAATTCTAAAATCAGTTGAAAACTCAACAATTCTGGCAAGATGGTCCCGGTACGTATAATTTGAGTGTCAGCTACAGCCCATGGCCGGTGGGCGGGCAGGTGGGTTCGAATCTCCACAGTGTCCTGCCGCGGCGGCCGAGGAAAACAGTGGATTCTTACATCCGCTGCTCTTACGAATAACATGTTTTTCAGTTCATATCTCGCCGAAAAATTGTGCTGGAAGTCTGAAACTTTGCATATAGTCCGGGTTCTTATGTTCAAAAAAAGCTTCCCGTGGAACGGTAAGTTAAGCAAGTGTGGAAAATATCTTAATCTCTTCATTTCGATGCGTAAAAAAAGAATTTCGATGTTGTCAAGCTCAATTTTGCGTCTAACCCCCAAAATCAAGATGGCGGCCAAAATGGGGGCTCGGGGGGGGTGAAAATTATGGAATTTGATTTTGATGTCATGATTGAGGTCAACTTTTATGTAATTTTGGTCGTAGAATCCGAATTTGAGGTCCAAAATACTCTCCGACCCAAAGGGATGCCCCAAATCCAAGATGGCCGCCAAAATCTCCAAGATAGGGTCAAAACTGCGATACGTATGTAAAAGTGCCAAGTAGGGTGTCCTTGGTAGGGTTCTTTGGGTCGGAGATTTCACCTATGATGTCAAAAACTTACCACGGATCCATTGAAGCCCAAAAAAATCAAAATGGCGGCCAAAAGGGCTGCCGTTGCGGGGTGAAATATTTTGTTGAGGCAAATATTGTCGAATGAGGTGTCACTGTATAGGTTTTTTGGGTCGTAGATTCCAAAAATGAGGTCCAAATAACAAAATAAGCTGATAGAAGTTCTCCAAAAGCCAAAATGGCGGCCATAATGGCTGCCGCCCAGGCATTGAACGCGTTTGAACAGTAGGGTGTCCCATTTTGGACGTTAAAAAAAAAAAAATTGCGAAATCCAACAGAGATACCTGCCAAAAAGTTGTCTCATAGTTAGAAAAAAAAGCACAAAAAAATCTCAGGGTCGTAGCTAAAGTTTGAGTGGTCCCGCAAGGTACTTAAGATGTTTCACCGATTCCTCATCTTGGCAATCTTGGCGATCTTGCAGATTTTTTTTCGGCAAATGCAATCGAGGTAAAAAGTCGCAAATGCGGATAATGAGACTTCTGATACTATATTTTAAGAGAAAAATAACGGTTTGGACCCACGAGGATCAGAATCCCTCGTTCTTAGCTCTCAAAATGCTAAAATCAGCGATTTTAGCATTTTGTAGTCAAACCGCTGCTCGACCGTCGCTCGACTTAAATGTCGCGGCATTTGACGCGCTGTTTCACAATGATCCCATTGTAGGAGTAAAAAGTCCTTCAAGTATGTTCATTAGAGGTGTAAGAGGGTCACTTTGGCCAATTTTTGTTGCTTTTAAACATTGAGCTCATTGTTTAAAATGTTTTTTGTTTTTTGTTTTGTTAATATAATTTTCCTGTTTTTCATCATTTTTTAAAATGGTTTAAAAAGGGCGACTCATCTTACACCAAAATTGAACTCCTTTGGCGAACAATATACGTAGATGGTCAAATACTTCCTCCAAAACAGTTTTTGGATTCAAAGCCTCCCAAAAAAGCCGATGTTGCCATATTTTATCCCCGGAAAACACAAAAAACCGAGTACCTATTTCAGTATTTGGAGGCTGTTCCTCACCGAGCTCATTGAGCAAATTTCAGCAAACCTTGAATTTTCATACGTTATGACCAGATTACTAGTGATTATGTACATGTGTTTATCTATACAGCCTCCCACCGCGGCGCGACGTTGCCACATACCATCGATAAAATTCGATGGAAATCCGCGTTTCCTTAGATTTGAGCCATTTTTTCGGATATTGCACATGGAATACATATGGGTCATTCCACGTCAACGCAACCAAGCTCAAAACTCGACCCCCTCCGATTTGGTTGAAAATTGGTGTACGGGGTCTTTATATCATATTAAGAAACCAATTTTGAAGGGTTTTCCCATCTGACGCCCCGTTCGCGAGATATCGACCCCCAAAGATGGGGTGAATTTTAGCGGTATTCAAAACAGCCCGTTTTAGCGATTCTCATTTTCTCGACTCTCCTCTCTTTGACTCTCCATAGCGAGACTCTTTATCAATCCATCATGCTTTGAAAGAGTATTTCTAGACCACTTTTTCATGTAGATTCTGAATATGCCATCGAAATTGAGCTAAGAATTATTTAAATGGCCGTAATTCAGGCTTTTTTAAAATTTACTATTTCTTTGCATTCAATGTTCAAACTGATCCAAAATACAGTCCCTCCGATTTTGTGTGAGTACTTCATAGAACAGTGCATAGAGCGCGCTAAATATGCTCGCATAAGTAGAGTAACATCCTCGAATTCTTTTTTAGGGGGTCCGGTCCTTCCCGCATTGCAGGGTCCAGCCCTGCCTTCTTCAGGACCCAGTCCTACCTTCTCCAGGGCCCAGCCCTATGTGGTTAGTGCTCGGCCCCGCCTCAGGTAGGACTAGGCCCTGAGGCAGGTAGGGCTGAACCTTAACTTCAGCATGGGCCTGCCCCTTCGATGTTTAGGTGAAGCAATTTTACCTACCCCGGGTGTAGGGCCGGCCCTGCCCCGCAGGTCCCAACCCTAAACTCGTTTTTTCCGTGGAGATAGAGGGGGATCATACCTTGTGCCAATATCTATTATTTTAAGACCCTGCGCTTATTGACGACCCATTTCCTACGATTTCTAGTCATGATGTTTGTGCACGAGGATGCGACTTTCAAACATTGACCGTGATCTGAGGACCAAAAAGAAACAGTGCCACATTTCAAAAACACGGGTTCTCAATGCTGAATTTTTGCCCACCCTTAAACCTAGCCCTCCCCCCCACCCCCGTCCTTTTGGACGGGTACCGATTGCTAAGAATGCTGCCTCGCAATTTCCCCATTTTTTTCTCAAACCGCAAAGTGGAAATTCCTCTACCCTCCCAAAGTCCTTCAAGGAGTTTGCACTCCCTAAGATTTGGAGACATCACAAACATCATGCTTAGAATTCGTAAGAAATGGGTCGTCAATAAGCGCAGGATCTTAAAATAATGATTATTGCCACAAGGTATGATCCCCTTCCATCTCTGAATACTGCATTTTAAGTTTTACATAAGTATTCCATGTGCAATATCCGAAAAAATGGCTCAAATCTAAGGAAACGCGGATTTCCATCGAATTTTATCGATGGTATGTGGCAACGTCGCGCCGCGGTGGGAGGCTGTATAGATAAACACATGTACATAATCACTAGTAATCTGGTCATAACGTATGAAAATTCAAGGTTTGCTGAAATTTGCTCAATGAGCTCGGTGAGGAACAGCCTCCAAATACTGAAATAGGTACTCGGTTTTTTGTGTTTTCCGGGGATAAAATATGGCAACATCGGCTTTTTTGGGAGGCTTTGAATCCAAAAACTGTTTTGGAGGAAGTATTTGACCATCTACGTATATTGTTCGCCAAAGGAGTTCAATTTTGGTGTAAGATGAGTCGCCCTTTTTAAACCATTTTAAAAAATGATGAAAAACAGGAAAATTATATTAACAAAACAAAAAACAAAAAACATTTTAAACAATGAGCTCAATGTTTAAAAGCAACAAAAATTGGCCAAAGTGACCCTCTTACACCTCTAATGAACATACTTGAAGGACTTTTTACTCCTACAATGGGATCATTGTGAAACAGCGCGTCAAATGCCGCGACATTTAAGTCGAGCGACGGTCGAGCAGCGGTTTGACTACAAAATGCTAAAATCGCTGATTTTTGCATTTTGAGAGCTAAGAACGAGGGATTCTGATCCTCGTGGGTCCAAACCGTTATTTTTCTCTTAAAATATAGTATCAGAAGTCTCATTATCCGCATTTGCGACTTTTTACCTCGATTGCATTTACCGAAAAAAAATCAGCAAGATCGCCAAGATTGCCAAGATGAGAAATCGGTGAAACATCTTAAGTACCTTGCGGGACCACTCAAACTTTAGCTACGACCCTGAGATTTTTTTTGCTTTTTTTTCTAACTATGAGACAACTTTTTGGCAGGTATCTCTGTTGGA